ATAAGATATTCATCGCATCGTTCATTTTGAATTTGCTCATCTTCGAAACCTTCGCGGATGTTCCGGGAAGGTCCGAAATATTATGGGACTTTCAAAGTCTCTAAAATTCAAATTATCTTGCGATTGTGATTGGTGCATAACATCAAAGTACTTTAGTGGAGTCCATCGAAACATATCAGGATCTTTGACTAGACTTGTTGCAGTACCTGGTACCGGTACAAGGTACCAGTAGGTAGAGACGCCTGCACCTCTTCTTCATCTTCCTGGTGTCCAACCGCGAGGATCAATATTCCAGGTTTCACCACCAGTTTAGTCCTACATATAGGAATGGTGGCGACGTGATGGACCTGGCTGCATCACACACAACCAGAAGAATGATGAATTCCAGTAGCCTAGCTGTGCTTCATGTAGTAGCTATGATAAGCGTTGCAACAAATGATGCTAGTTCTCCAATCTTTCTTGAAGAAGAACCATCCCTGCTGCCTTGGTCTTCAAGAAAGTTCTCCTGTGAGCTATTTGACGACACGCCCCAGTCACGACATTTATCTCTGGCATAAAAGTAGCATCTTCTCTTTTTTTTTTAAATATGCAACGGCAATCAAGGGATGATTATTCCTACTGTAGTTTCTGGTCAAGTTTCTAGAGCAGCTGTATGATATGTGTTCAAAAGAATCACGACCGAATTGAACAGCAACGATGTTCTCCAGTCATGAGCTGTTTTGACACTTGTTTCGGACAGTTTCTGATTGGATTGGAATAGTAGTAACCAGACGGCGTAGACAAGTGAGTGAGTCTGTTTCGAGATCAGGGCAGTATTCGTTTTCGCAACAATTACAGTTTTATCATGTTAAAAACTGATGGGGTGGTACCGGTACCGGTAGGAAACGGAAGATAAAAATGTGACGAGGAGAGGAGCTTGCATTTTTAAAGGCCCGGCGGTGTAATAGTGTACCGGTACATAGTGAAAAGAGATCATCAATTGAATGAGACAGGAATATCGGCATATTTCCGAAGACCATTCCATCTTTCCTAATTGATGTCTTCCCTTTTGGGCTTAATTGTCACGAACCATGGTCGTAAAATTTGAATTAGCGCGACGATTGTAGGCAATTTAGTGAGGAGGCGTTTCGAGCAATCCTTGTTTCGAGCCGATAAACGTACCACTCACTACTGTACAATATGTGTTCGTTCCCGCATTATTGGAACGATCAGATCAGACAGATTTTCTGTTCATCCCACACTTCTTGTCATCATATCTCACAACGACAAAAAAGCAAAAGAGGTGCATTCTATCTATACATTGATTGACAAACTAATAGCAACAATACTATGCCCAGTTATAACAAAGGATCCTCACAAACGAGCTCCGACAAGAAGAAGAAGCCTTCGCGGGATGAGCATGGCCGCCACAAAGACAGGAAGGACAAGTCTTCACCCTCCTCTACCAGGCGGAAATCCGCAAGTCGTGGATCGAGTAACAGATATCGTCATTCGCCCTCAAGCGGCCGCCATCGTTCTTCCTCTACCGGTAGGAGTAACAGCCCTCTACCAACTGCCCCGCATCGGTCATCCAGGCGCAGCGGATCAACAACCAGAAATCCTCCTCCTGCTGCTGATTCCAAACATTCCAACGAAAAACTTCGATTAGCAGACGGATCAAGTGTCGGTTTGCCTTCGCCAGCTACTGCTCCTGGAGCTATGGAAAGTTCAAGCTCTCATTCACATGGCCGCGAAAGTAGAAAATCGGAAAGGGAAAGCATAAGGCCACAGGAAGTATCATCCAAGACTGCTCCTGGAGCCCTAAAAAGTTCGAGCTCTCATTCGAATGACCGTGAAAGCAGAAGAGCAGCTACAGAAATCATCAAACAACAGGAAGCATCATCAAAGGCTGCTCCTGGAACTCTCACTGTTTCGAGTTCGCATTCGAATGACCGTCAAAGCAGAAAAGCGGAAAGAGAAAACATGAGACAACAGGAATCATCGCAAATGAATGTGTCGAGTTCCCACAGCATGGAAGACGAGTCGACCGTTTTGACTGCTCCCGGGGCACAGGATGTATCGAGCACGGGGACTGTCACTAGGTTGGCCTCCAGCATTGGCAAGAATCAGGAGCACACCAACAGAAGTCGCAATCCGAGCAGAAACAATAGCATCGACACGGAGGAGCCAGAGCTCGGTCTCCCAACATCACTGTTTGCATCGCATCAGATGGGGACTTCGGATCAAGACACGGTACCATCCTTGTTTGGATCTCATCGAACGGCTCATTCCAATGACACGGTGCCAACATTGGAAGCAACCGCCGCTCCCGACATGGACGAAGAAATAGAGCGTGCCCGTCGACACGCGAGAGAAGAAGGACGAAAGGAGGGACGAAATGAACGGCAACGAGAAAACGTGGAAATACCAGTGGGAGATCTTCCGATTGTTGTTGCAACTGCTTCAGAGGAAAAGAAACTCTCTCGAAAATGCACCCTTGCCATTGCTTTTGTGGTGCTCGTAGTGGCTATGGGTGGAGGTGTTGCCGCTTGGCAATCCGGAAAATCGAGCGCCCGAGGCCAGATTGTCAGACAATACGCTCCACCTACGGAAGAGGATTGCCTTGCGGTATCCCAAGGACTAGGAGTGGAAGGGCAGAATAACACGGCCTCCAATCAAGTGGGATTGGAGATGAATTTTGTCTTTGGATCTGATGTCAATCTTGAATTGCTTCAAGGGGAACTTGAAGCTAAGATCCAGCGAAAAGTTCTACCGCTTCTTGTTGGATGCGATATCGATGGTGGCGTCTCCATAAGAAGCAACTTTTTCATCATTGACAATGCCATGCTTGACATGCTGACCATTGGTGACCCTGCAACCTGCAACTCGAAATCAGACCAGCTCTGTTCCCATGTTTACATGGAGGTGGATGTCATTTCAAAAGACAGCAAGGAACTGGACGAATCTGTTTTGGAGCAATTTAAGGACGTCTTTCAAGACGAGGCAACGTTGGAGCTATTGAACTTGGCTTCACCTGTAGAAACAATCAAATCTACTAAAGTGTTTTTGGTACAAGCATCCAGTTCCCCAAGCTCAAGCCCATCGAAACAAGAAAGCGAGACCTGCACGGCAATTGTCAATGGCATTCCTGTCCCAGGACAGGACGCTCTTACTGTGCAAGAGTACAACATTTTGATGGATATAGTTTTGGATTCCGAGACTGAAGCAATGGCGCCGCTTACCATGGAACTAAAAGAAACGATTCAGCGCTTCCTCATGCCATCTCTAGCGGGTTGCACCAATCAACGTCGACGTCTCCAGATAGAAACGTTTATTGCCAACGCATTGGTCGATGCTGAAGTTAACATTGGGGCTGCTTGTTTGCCGGATTCAGAAAGTCCATGCCATCGTTATGTCATCCATCTTGACATCTATGTTGAGCGTATTGTTTCCACAGCTGATTTTTCGGGAGAGATTATTGCAAATTTCCGTGAATCACCTTTGGTGGAGCGATTGGGGCTACTGTCGCCGTTCAAGAACATTATTGTTGTGGAATACGTTCCGGGCCCCAATGAATTTACAAGTACAACTGGTAAGTTCATCAACAGCAAATTCTGCACCCATTTTCAGCCACTGTTAACTAACGATCTCTTCCTCCAATTCATAGCCCCTCCAACATCAGTCCCACCAACTCTATCACCTTCAGTGAATCCAACGTGGGCGCCAGTTACATACCCCACGACAAACAATCCTACTAGGTCGCCGACAACAACACCGTCATTGAATCCAACAAGGACTCCAGTAGCATTCCCCACGACCGATGACCCCACATGGTCGCCAACTCCAATTAGGACAAGAGGTCCTACAAGTAGGCCAACTCCTATGCCAACATTACTACCATCTGTAGTTGGTCCAACCTCGGAGCCTACGCCATTCCCAACACCTGACCCGACCCCTGATCCAACACCTAGCCCAACACCTAGCCAAACACCTGTTCCAACTCTGTCCCCTACGGACAATCCCAGCAAATCACCGTCGGCTGGTCCTACACCAAAGCCTTCTTTGTCACCAACACCTGAACCAACGCGTTCACCTACCGCCAAGCCTTCTGTGCGACCAACGAGGCAGCCCTCTACTCCACTACCGACACCACAGCCTTCCACTTCACCTACGGCTCGTCCCAGTGCAACACCAAAACCATGTTTTGCAACCAGCACTGAGCTATCGGATGCAATAGACAACTATTTTGATACCGAACTCAAGGCTTCAATGGAGGCCCAATATGGATTGATAAGGAACTGGTGTTTCGGTACAGGCGTGGCCAGCATGGAGGCCCTCTTCAAGGGCCGTGAAAGATTCAATGAAAACTTGTCGTTATGGGATGTCTCTTCTGTCACCACGATGCGGTTTATGTTCGACGGGGCAACATCTTTCAATCAAGACATATCAGCATGGGACGTTTCTTCCGTTACTGACATGGAGGGGATGTTTCTGGAGGCGTCATTGTTCAACCAAGACTTGTCACAATGGGATGTTTCTTCTGTCACCAATTTGCAAAGCATGTTCCATGAAGCATCTTCTTTCAATCGAGACATATCATCTTGGGACGTTTCGTCTGTGGTTCAATTGGACAAAATGTTCCAAGAAGCAACATCTTTCAATCAAGACATATCATCGTGGGATGTTTCTTCGGTCACTGATATGTCTGACATGTTCAAGGCTGCATTATCCTTCAATCAGGATCTTTGTGTGTGGGGCTCTCGCATTCCGATCGATGAGGCAAGTGTTGGTAGCATGTTTGACGACGCCATCAGTTGCCCTTCACAAGAAACATCCAAACCAGACCTTTCTTTGAGTCCACCGGGCCCCTTTTGTTACACTTGCTAATCTTATGTGTGTTTTAAATGTAGTCTTGTTTGTAAATTTAAAATCATCCTGTTCTATCCAATTCTGACTCCTTCTTTTGGGTTGATGATGCTTCTGTACGGTACCATAGGTGTGTGTATTTCAGTCGTCAATCATTTGAGTCATGGGGGTTTGGGGAAATAGTGAATATCCCCAGGAAAGATAGTCCGTGTGATTGAAACAATGCGGATCGGGGCTATAGTAGTGGCACAGTACTGCCACTGAAAAGAACTGCCAGCATGGTACCTGCCACTCATCGCTGACGCCAGCATCTACTGTATGGAAGTACGTGTACTTTATTCAGGTGTAAAAAATTCTAAATATTTAAAATGAAAAAATATCATATTGGTACCGCAGGTACCGGTGTGGTCCCTACCGGTAGAATTACAGAGTTCCTCTGTAAAAGAGAAGATTGAGCATACGAACAACAATACTTTAGTATAAGACAATGACCGGTTCTAGCGAAGGATCTCCGCCAACCATCTCCGATATTGAGCCTTCGCGTGGGGATGATCATGTTGGCGAGAAAGGTGACAAGTCTTCAGCCTCAACGAAAGCACGGAAATCCAAAAGTCATGGATCGACGAGAAGCGGTCATCACGGTTCTTCCTCTAGCGGTCGTCATCGTGCCTCCCCGCATCAATCCAGCAACAGTGGATCACTATACAAGACGCCTGATTCCACGAGAACTGGCAAAGACAAACTTAGATTGGCAAACAAGACAAACGGATCAGAGATAATGTCATCACCACCATTGAATTCTCCCGGAGCTCAGAATGTTTCAGGCTCCAATAGTCGCGAAAGCAGAAAAGCGGCCAGGAAAAACAGAAAAGGACAACAGCCGTCACCATCAATGACTTCTCCTGGGGCTCAAAATGTTTCGAGCTCGGATGGGAATGCCACAAGAAAGTCATCCAAGTTCAGCAGGGCGAGACAGGCCAACGATTCATCAACACCAGTGTTGACTTCTCCGGGCGGTCGGAACATGTCCTCGAGCTCTGATGGGGATGCTAAGAGGAAGGCCTCCAAGGGAGTCAGGAGCAGCAGACAACAAAGAACTCCTGGTATCACGCAGTCCACCAGGAACAGCAGAGTCAAGGCAAATGCTGGGACAGAGATCCGTGCCCCGGCATTGCTTGGGCCGGTGCAGGCTTCGGATGCCACGATGCCGATGCTCGAGGCTACAGCAGCTCCAGATGTGGAAGAGCAAATCGAAGCTGCCCGTAAACAAGCTAGGGAAGAAGGACGAATGGAAGAACGAAATGAAAGGACGAGAGAAGAAGAAAGGCAAAGGCAAAGGCAAATCGGCGAAATTGATACCATCGTTGCTACGCCTCCAGAGGAGAACAAGATCTCACGAAAATGCATGCTGATTGCTTTGGTCGTATTTCTGCTTGCTATTGGTGGTGGAGTTATAGCTTGGCAATTGCTATCTGGAAAATCAAGCACAAGCGATGAAGCCCAGCCTCTCAGCAAATACGATCCACCTACAGAAGAGGATTGCCTTTCGGTATCCCAAGGACTAGGAGTGGAAGGACAAAATAACACAGCAGCCGATCAAGTTGGATTGGAAATGAATATTGTAATGGCGTCTGATATTAATATTGAATTGCTTCGAGGTGAGCTTGAGGCCAAGATCCAGCAAGATGTCCTACCACTCCTCGTTGGATGCGGTATCGATAATGACGTCTCAATTGAAAACAACGTATTTATTCTCGAGAACGCTAAATTTAACATGATCGACATTGGCGATCCTAGAGCATGCAGCACGAATTTCGAAGAGCTTTGTTCCTCAGCTTATTTGGAGATGGATGTCTTTTCAAAGGATGACGATGAACTGGACGAATCCGTGCTGAGACTAATTAGGGATGTCTTTCAAGACGAAGGTACCTTGGAACTGCTGAACTTGGCATCGCCTGTAAGAGGTATCGAGTCTACAAGAGTGTTCCAAGTACAAGCATCCAGCTCCCCGAGCTCAAACCCATCTAAAGAAGATGGTGTTGCTGGCGACGATTCGACAAATCCAACTGGTAAGTACATTGGAAGCAAAATGAGCACCTAGTTTCAGCAACTCTCCACTAACAATTCTTCCGTAGCGTCTCCATCAACAGTCCAACAAACTGAATCGCCCTCACGAAATCCAACGTGGGCGCCGGTCGCCTACCCTACTACCAACGATCCCACAAGGTCACCGACACTAGCACCGTCAGTGAATCCAACATGGGCACCCGTCACATACCCAACTACGACCGACCCGACAAAATCTCCGACGTTGGCACCGGCATTTGATCCAACAACAGCGCCAGTTACATTCCCCACAACACAAGCCCCTACCAGCATTCCGACTCCTGTTCCAACGCTTCAACCTGTGGTTGGTCCAACCTTGGAGCCTACGCCATTTCCAACACCAAATCCAACTCTGTCCCCTACCGTGGAATCCAGTGAATTGCCATCAGCTGATCCAACACCCAAGCCTTCAATGTCACCAACAGCTGGGCCGACGCCTAGACCTTCATCTCAGCCATCTGTGTCACCAACGATGCAACCCATTACGCCACTGCCGACAGCATCACCTTCCACTTCACCTTCCGCTCCACCTAGCGTAACACCAAAACCATGTTTTCAGACCAGCACCGAGCTCTCGAACCGAGTTGAAGACTGGTTTGATAAACCTGAAAACAAGGCATTAACCGAGGAACAATATGGACCGATAGGGGCCTGGTGTTTCGGTGCGGGTGTGACCAGCATGGAGAAGCTCTTCTCGAGCATTGAGGTTGAGGACAATGTAGACTTGTCATTGTGGGATGTTTCTTCTGTTATAACGATGGAGGAAATGTTCAGCAAATCATCGTTCAATGGTGACTTGTCGTCGTGGAATGTTTCATCTGTGATGAACATGCGTGGCATGTTCAACGATGCAAGATCATTCAATCAAGACTTGTCATCCTGGGATGTCTCTTCTGTGACTGACATGCGATCCATGTTTAATAGAGCCTCGTCCTTTAATGGAGACATATCGTCATGGGATGTTTCGTCTGTCATAACGATGGATCAAATGTTCGATGATGCAACAGCCTTCAATCAACCCTTGTCATCATGGGATGTTTCGTCTGTCATAACGATGGAGCAAATGTTCAATGAAGCAAGAGCCTTCAATCAACCCTTGTCATCATGGGATGTTTCGTCTGTCATAACGATGGCGCGAATGTTCCGACGAGCATCATCCTTCAATCAAGACTTGTCATCCTGGGATGTCTCCTCCGTCACAAAAATGAGATTGATGTTCTCAAGTGGTTCATCCTTCAACGGAGATATATCATCCTGGGATGTTTCTTCTGTCACCTCAACGTATGGGATGTTCTTGCGAGCATCATCTTTCAATCAGAATCTTTGCCCATGGGGCTCGCGCATTCCAAGCAGTGCTGTTTCTGTTACCGACATGTTTAACTTTACCAGCTGCCCTTCACAATCCGATCCAGACCTCTCTTCGAATCCACCCGGTCCGTTTTGTTACGATTGTTAAATGTGCCTTGATAAATACAATAGTTGTTCTCTTTCATGATAACGTGGTCATCCGGTGATCGAACCAGTGATGTAAATTGAAAGTATATTCAATATTATTGCTTACATCACTGGAATACTTCGACTGAAATAATTCTACTCGAAGGAGTCTGAGAGTTTCGCAGTCGCCGTCGTCCATTTTGAAAAAGTCGGTGGGCTTCGCCGAGCATCCCTAAATTTGGATCCAACCAATCGAACGGCGGTAGGTTGATATGATCCCAACACCACCTCGAAACAAAAGCAACATCTTTGTGTTTCCATTGCATTCATTCAATTGCATTGCATTTCAAGACGCAACAAGCAAGACAACTAAACCAATCATTTAAAGGATGTCAATTCTAGAGTACAATGGAGCTGCCATTATCGCCATGGCGGGAGATGGCTGCGTCGGAATCGCGGCGGACCGTCGCTTGGGTGCCCAATTGCACACCATTGCCACGGACTTTACCAAGTGCTTTCGCATGGCTCCCAAGTTGTATGTGGGACTAGGTGGATTGGCCACCGATGTGCAAACCTTGCATCAGCTTTTGGAATTCCGAATGAACTTGTACACGCTCAAGGAAGAACGTGAAATGACGCCGCAAGTCTTTTCTCATTTGTTGTCTCATTTGCTTTATGAAAAGCGCTTTGGGCCTTACTTTGTAGAGCCTGTGGTGTGTGGCCTTGACGAGAAGGGAGAACCCTTTCTCAGTGGAATGGATCTCATTGGAGCTCCTGTGACTGCCAAGGACTTTGTGGTTACTGGAACTTGTACAGGAAACTTGTTTGGTATGTGCGAATCCCTTTACAAGCCAAAAATGAACCCAGATGAACTCTTTGAATGCTTGGCACAATCTTTGCTGTCGTCTGTAGACAGAGACTCAGTGTCTGGTTGGGGAGGTATCGTTCACATCATTACAAAGGATAATGTCATTACCAGAGAACTCAAGGGAAGAATGGATTAAAAGATCTTTTTGCTTGCTTGCATCTTCTTTTACCTATAATAATACAACAGACTACACCATCTCTTTGTAATTCTAATCTTATTTTATCAGTCACCAACAACGTATTCTATTCAATGTACACCATTGAGTTGTGTTTTAAAATTATCAAGGAAAGAGTCCTATTTGTATCTTATTTTTCTATTTTCGCGACAGCCTACTCCTACTCCTACTATAGTATAGTACCATCATCTCCTTGTATCATAATCTTTCTAATCTTATTTTATCATTAAACGTTTTTTTATAATTTGTATTCCCCTTTCTAAAAGCAATGGTTTTGAACTCAAATCATTGCATTGCTAATATGGTTGATTGATTCTTCGTTCATTCGTTCATTCCCCATCATCGTTTACTATCAGATCAGAGTGTATGCAGCAAAGTTCAATGCAATCAGCTCGAATGAATGAATGAATGCCCATTCAGCTCGATTGAATTGCTTGAATAATCTCCAACGGTTGTGATTCCCCCATTATAATTTACACCGATTCCATTCGAGAGGGTGTAATGGAAGCATCATCCGCGGATGTTGATTCCATCTTGATGGGAGTGGCGGCAACTGCCATAACTGGAGGTGACTCTTTCTTGCACGGTGTACCTACTGCCGGTACTTGTAGCACAGTGGCAGCCATCTTTTTGTCTCCATCCTCGTCTGTATGTGCCTCCTCCAATTGCAACTCGGATTGCAACTTTTGCGCCCATTGACGAACCATTTGGTGCATTCGGGGTTGCTTGTCCTTGGGCTGTTGTCCGATCCAATCCAATACTTGGCGGTGCATGACCTCCAAACGCTTTTGGAGGCTGGAGGGAGTGCCCAAACACGGGGACGCATCCTTCTTGTTCTCTGCGTTCTCTGCCATCTTGCGCTGAGCATCACATTCCTCGGAATCCAAAAGGAAGAGATTGTCCATTCTAGAATCTTCCACCGTCGCCAATGGCAACAATTCAAAAGACAACTTGGAACGGATCGCCATTTCGTCTTCGTGATCTAAAAGACCCAATTCGGGTGCTTCCAAGATGGCACCACCTGTCGCGCCCATCATCCACCAAGCATCCTCGTCTTCATCCAGCAAGGTTGGCATCTTGGCGGCCGCCCCCTTTTCCATATACACATGATCTCGTCCAGTATCCACAGAGTTGTAATTGACAGCAGCAGTCGTTGTTGTTGCAGCAAATGTGGCATCTGACATCATCATGGATCGAGTGGGAGGTGGTGTTGGAATATCAAACTTGCGTCGCTTAAAAGCAGACGACGAAGGAGGTGGTGGTGGAGGAGTCAAGTAGTGTTTGATAGGACGCATCGGTGGTGGTGTCGGATGAACCAAGGATGCTGGGACCATTGGATAATGAGGATGATGATGGTGGTGGTGGTGGTGGGGTTGCCAATAGGAGCGTGGTGGCATGGCACCATGCGGTGGCCAGGGCGACGTGGGAACCACGTTGGGAGTCGCTGGCGACTTTGTCCTGGAGGACGAGGCCGACGACGAAGTAGACGTGGGTGTAGTAATTCGTCGTCGTCGGCGGGCTGGTGATGGCGTGGCCGACCTAATTCCAGCTCTCTTGGCCGAAAAGTAGACATGCAACAGACGATAATTCAAATCCTCGTGGCCATTGTTGTCGTACATTGTCCATAATGCGCCTCCCTTTTGACTGGAATAGCTGGGGTTTCCCTTGGGATAGCAATAGCGTTGTTGTAATTCCGTTGGCTGTGAAAATTGAGGACCACTAAGAGACCATGGGCAGGCCTGCCCTGGAATTTCCTTGGCCAAGTATTGACGGAGATGAGTTGGAAGCTGAGGCTTTGGTTGGTCTTTCTTTTCAGGACGAAGCAAGACGTACAAGCCATCTGACGAGGTCACAGTGACGGTGTTGGAGAATAGATTTCAAATAGTTTGGAAACGAGAAAAGAGACGGAATGAGATTTTGATTTGAACTTGATTCAATCGCCACAATCATTCATGGTTTTGGTAAACTTACTGTCAAATTCAATAGCAGGAGGCGACAACTTCAAACCAGAAGGACCCACAGGAATAATTTGGAACTTTAAGCCTTCTGGAGGTGGGTGAGCTCCATGTAAAGAATCAAAGATCGCACGGACATCGGCCTCGGCGAGACGCTGAATAGTAGACATTGCTTTGGCAAGGGCGTGTTGTTGTTATAACTGAGGCTGTTTGACAATGAAGCACGGTCTATCTTTGTCACGTTGTCGTTGAAGGATCCAAAGAAGTTATGCTTCCAAGCTTTTCTCTCGGACCGAGAAAAAGAAACGTTTCGTTTGTCACTAGCATAGTTCACGTAGATGATGCGTTGAGCGTGACTGTTGACGAGGAGATGGTTTGGTTATTTGAGGACTGCGAGTTTCTCTCGTTGCAATCAACAACCGATTTTACTCGGACAATCAGTTTCTACGGACATTGCGAACGAAACCAACGGACACCAAACTTCGAATGTTCGTGTACCGGTATTGCAGTAGAAAGTCATACCGGCATATTGGAGCGTGTCCGAAAGTCTTCTATATCCATTTTTCCAGCATTCAAACGTTTGGATCAATCAATCATCATCAGCATCATACGTCATTGTTCTTGATCATGTTATCGCGTCACCAATGAATAATCGAGTGGGTTTGAGATTTACCTTTGCAAAGTCATTCCTATGGCCCTACCGTGTTTATTCGGCTTCAACACAAAGTCACGGATCATCAAGTGTGTTATTGACAAGGCAGATGTGCCATCTTGATTGGTGAAACACAAAACTGCGTTCTTGATATTATTCCAGGTTTTAACAAAGCACGAGGCATCTAAAGCTGGATGTCGATTTTGTTGTCAACAAGGATGCTATATGCTGATTACTTTCACCGAGAAGAGATGGGATTTACCAAGATTTACCAGCGTCTTATTTTCGATAATACCGCAGGCAAATCTATGCGAGCACAATTGGTTCATGCGTGGACGAGGCACTTTATCCAAGCCATTGCAAGCTATGCTGAGATGTGTAATCTTCATATTTGTGATCTTGTTTCACCCAGTGGAAGGAATGTGCTCAACGAACTGCCTAGTCTGAATTTGCTGACGCAGCTCCTGGAAAAGTCTTAGATTCACTGGATTTGCCTTTTGGAAACAGTAAGGCATGGAAGGAGCGAACTGCTTCGAAGATCAAATAATGTTGGGCAATGGTTGGATATCATGCGATGGATTGAGATGTTAATGTCCAGCTTTTTCACAATCTTGATTGACATTTGAAGGCATGGCTCTATACACAACAGGTCGAAATTTTTCAGAAAAAGATGGCAGATCACCACAACTATCATCATATCTCAATACCACACCAAAAATCATATTGAAACTTCATGCAATAGTTGCAAAAGCTTCCCAAAGCTTGGAAAGGGTAGATATCTCAAAACCCAAGACATCTTCGACATTTGCCACTTTTTTAATAAAAAAGTCTATGCATCGTTTCCAACGCCCGTGCCGCTTGGTTTCTCTCTTGCTCCACACCACGAATTGCCCAACTGTCAATTGCGTCACCAACGCTGAAGGTTTTCCATCAAGTCAAGTTATTGGTCGGTGCTGCTTCATCGAGTCCAGATGTCGACGAATCGAACATGCTCACTGATACTGACGTGGGGCCTGTGTCGCATCTGACTTTTCAGGCTTCTTTCGCTTACCCAAGTAAAGAACCGCGTTTGGTTCTCAAGGCGGAGGAGAATGATGACCACATTTTGATTGACACATAAGTGCCCGACCACTCATTCATGTAGAGGAACTATTGGTCCAGTTGGTTTTGCATCGGAATGACTGTGAAAAGAACAAACTGCTCAATGACGAGCTAATGATGAAAAAAGCAAGTCTGGGAATACAACGAATACAGTACAATTCATAGAAATCCTCGCCATTTTTTAACATAGAGTCTGGATCCAAGAAAACGTCGACGTCCCACTGAATCATCGTTGGAATACGATCAACGATACCAATAGTAACCGCATCGCTCAATACACGACTTATAAGAATGCATCAGAATCGATTGGTTCTGTAGTGGCATCTATTACTCATTGCCTCCCTTTCTCCCTGGCTACCATAGTCTCCAGAGAGAATGAATCCATCTCAAATTCAAAACTCAACTTCCCAAAAGTAAACTTCTACTCCCAGAAATCACTTCGCCTTCGCATTTCCTCGCTCCAGTCTTCTCATATCCACCCATTTTCCTCTTGAAGTATTCTCATCTCCCTAGATACCGTACACAGACACGGAAGCGATTACGTTTCTGCGTATAGTTCAGCGTATGTATACTGTAGTATCAATTCTACTTGCAAATCAATTCAGGTTAGCTAAATTTGAAAATTTAATACATGTGATTCATAGATTTGAACATATCTAGCTGTTCGTTCGAAAAAGGTAGTTAACGACTCGGTGGCTTCATTTCTCAAATCTGCATGTATTTTCTTTTCTTCCCTTTTTGATTGGACAATTCTCGCGCGTCTGGAAATTCGTCATCTTTCTCCCTCAAACGTCACTAGAGGTATGACCTCGGAGTGCGCCAACTTCTGAAATGTCTACTGAACTAGGAATTGTTGGATCTTTATTACAATACAAAGATACGGATCGTTGGCCAGTTTTCGGAATGGCAAGTATGTCACCAAGAAGCAAGATGAGAAAGAGCGATGAAGAGAACAGGGAAGAAGATTCCGGGGAAAGAAACAGCACGTTGCAACCCTGTCGCAATGGTACAGATCCACCAATATTGCTCCTTAGTGATATCTCTGTGATTGTTCATATCAGAGACAAGGCATCTGGAACATATGCTCCTTTATGCTCCAGGAGTTTCCAAGAACTGTTCCACCAACCGTCAATTCATTACGAGCTGTCTGAGCCGTTGCTGCTCCCAACACGACTCTCTGGAGACTTCAGGGATCACTTTTGCAAATCGTTTGAGGAATGCCAGAAGTTCCCTCAGAGAGTTTCTGACGAGCTTGGTGTAAGCATGCGGCTTTGGCGGAAGGACACAAACAAGTCATTTTGTCTGTGCAACAAAGAAGAACCTAGTGAAGTAGCTGGATTCAAAACTACTCACAAAAGAGCAACATTGTTTCCTATCGTTGGAGCCAATGAAGACGAAGAATTGCTAGAATCATATGTCAATTGTTTCATTCTGCCCACTTTTCCGCCGTCTTACGACCGTAATATCCACAATTGGAGCATTGACAAAGTTCATGGCTGGAAGCAGTATGATATCGATGACTGGAAGACAATTCGATATTCGATTAGCTCATTTCAATTCGGTATCACTAAGGAGGGCGGGTTTAAGACAGTTGACGAAATTCTCGAATGGTTGAATGTGTTGGACTGGGAATAAGTTTGTATTCCTCACTTTTAACTTATATGTCAGAACTTTGGAAGCCAACGCTGGCTTCTTGTGACAAAGCTCAAGCCGATTGCCTAATCATGCCAATTGGTCAAACATGCGGTGGAAGGGGAATTTTTTGTACTCCTTTGTGCTCCACCACTTTATACATAGATTCTGTAGCTCCTGTTGGATTAATCACATATAGAAACATCTTATATTGAACCCCTGGACTCGCTTCAGAGATAGTCAGAATGTCCGATATTTTGCATATCGAAACAGTCTGCATGTGCTCTTGATTTCAACTGGCTTTGACATTTAATTCCCTGTAAGTCCAAGCGCAGAATGAGCAGCGTGATTTCTTTCGAAACGGAGCATCATACCAACATGGTCCCAATCGATAATACTCTTCTTGACAAAAGAAATCTATAAGATTCATCATTTGATATCATTGTAAAATCTCTTTCTGGGTTCTGCTGGCTGCCCCTTCTGGCTGCTGCCACAAGAGTTGAGTCGCCAAGAACTGTCGGTAGAATGACTCGCTCTCTCTGTTCTAGAAACAAAATCTGAAGGACACTCGGAGCGCTCCAATTCTTCAGAAGCGGTGACATTCAGAGGCTTGCCTCTAGTACTCTCTCGTGTAGGTACTTCAAGTGTTGGCTTGGATCTGAATTTAGAAGCAAAAAATGGGACTATTTGAGACCAAAAACCTGAAACGTGGACCCCCAACGCAACTGCAGGTACTGTGTACTGTACGTACAGTACAAATACTCAGTACTGTAGTGTTCCTGCTCACACAGGTTGCACCAGATTTGAAAAAAAAAGCGCACCTTCCGTCATCATACTGTATGCCCATGTGCAATCAAGGGCGCAACACCATCGATTTGAAAAAGTTCCCTCCGGTTAACTGTTTTCGCGCCAAAGAAGTGACGAAAGGTTCGGCAGCAACCGGGACATGGATCTTTTCCCCAACAAGGCACCACGGAACGCACTTTCGCAGAACCCAAAGATATGAAAAGCTTACATCAGCCGCCATGCAAAAAGAGGAAACCAAATGGTGACGACGCGTCCATTGAATCCTTAGAGGACATTCTTGTCAAGAAGAAAAGAGAAGTAGAATCCTTACAGGACCTTCTTGTCAAGAAGAAAAGAGAAGTAGAAGAATTGGAAAATCAGATCATGTTGCGAAAGGCCAGTTGCGCCGAGAAGCAAGGCATCGATATCTTGATGGACTCTCTCCTCCGTTACATTGTGAATTTCCTAACACCAAAAGAAATCTTTGCTTGTTTGCACATCTCCAAACACTGGAACAGAGTGATCGATGACCCAAGAGCTTGGAAAGGGGTTGCCAAGAGTCACCATGATCGATTTGTGGCTCACATGGAATCCCTGGAAACTGTTGTGGATTATAAGAGACTCGTGAAGAGACTCGCCGCCAACACACCTGAGCGTTCATGGCGGGGAGACGTTGATGCCCCCGTCGACAATGATTCTCTGCCAACCTTGGCGGCCAAGGACCTCTTTTTGCTCATTCATGTAAAGGATAAGGCAACTGGTAAAGAAATTGATTTTCGGTGCAAGAGTTTCGAAAGCATGATCGAACACAACGGCAGTCACCATATGGAGTTTGATCAAATTCCAGAATCAGAGTGGCAGAAAACAAGTCTCCCAATACATATCACTGGAGACTATAACGACCACTTCGAGGGAGGGGCTGGTTCTGTGAATGGAATTCCAAAGGCAGTCGCGGATAGTATTCTCGTGACTGCCCGACTGTGGCGCCAAGACGAACAGCAGGCACTTTGCTTATGCCATAGTGAAGAAGCAAAGGAGCGACAGAAGTTCTGCACGTCACATACTGTTCTGACTTCCTTTCCTAGCCGCAGATCCAACTCCGATGCCGTTGTGGCAAGGATGAACGCCTGGCATTTTGCCATTGCATGTTCCATCAAGTGCCGAATTGGGCGCGTCTTGCCAGACGGCGATATCGCATATGATCTGGATGCTTGGAAGAATGCTCGCTACTTTCTGCGCTCGGTGGATTTCAAGCTGAGTTACTACAACCTAGGTAGACAAACCGGCTTGGGGTCTGTGGAAAGGCTTCTCGCTTTGTTGAATGTGCTGGATTGGGAATAAGTCTATATCCCTCTCGGAACTATCTATACATGATTACATAAAACTTCCATAGATTGTATAGTTAATCAAGTGATAGAAGTATCAAAACGTCATCCTTGTACATGTGTCTTTTTTCGGATTCGCCAACACAAGAATGCTTCTATGAGCTCTTGTCCGAAATTGGATCTGGATAGACATCGACTGGTTCCCATTCATTATCTGAAATCTTTGACACCATGTGCAATACGGTATCACTCTTGATTTCCAGCGTTTGTAGGGTATCTTCGTCCTTGAGAATGGCGGCGCCCTTCTTCTTATTGGGCAAGAGCAGCCTGAGATCATCTGGCTTCAGTTCATTCTTGGTGGCAATGGCAACTTGCTCCTTGATATGTCTTATCGTATCACCGGGATCGCATGTGATAAAGAATGTCTGACTGTGTCGTTTGACTCGAAGGTACCTGCAGAGAGAGAGAGAGAGAGAGAGAGAGAGAGAGAAATGAAATGCCTCTGTGAGCGAGTCATGCCAAAAGGATAATCAATGCATTGTCTGGCGGCATTTTATCCTATTTCCATAGAATTTCAACAACAAAGGTCACACAGAAGTACTTACATTGTATATCCGTTAAGCATGGTGTCGGTGATGGGATAGAATAAGCTATTGCAAAGATGATTAGATTAGGTTACACACGCTCTTGCTCTGATGATGAAAATGATATACATCACACTTTTGCTATTGCCATTTTGCTTTTCATCGAGAGGACGGAGGTCAGACCTCAACACCGTATACGGCAAGACTGATGTTATATGACGAACGTAAAGTCAATAAATAAAGCTGGATGCGACGATGACGTTTGAGATTCTTTCATGTCACACATATTTGAAAGGATTTCACCATGGTGAAATGGCGCATGTTACCATTCCTACGAATGGGAGGCAAGTCTGCTGTTGGCAATACGAATGATACAGTGGCTGATGTAGCAGACTTTGACCTGGGAATGCCACCCAAAAGATTTGACGAGATTCCGTTTGGCTGCAAAGATGAGATTGGCAATTGTCAGAGTTTGGGTGGGTTGTTTGCCGGCGATGGTGAAACTTGTCGATGGCCTAGTGCTGAGCTATGTTTGTCGACATGTGGACAATGTCCGCTCGTTGAAACTGCTAAAAAATGCCAATCTCATTACCACGAAATGGACGACCGAATGCTAGGAGGCACAATGGATTGGGCAGCCTTCTTTCACAACATTACGGCTCCTGAAATGCAAGAAAGATTTCCCCAACTGAAAGGAGCTCGGGTGTTGAGTCGAGAAACACCCTGGGTGGCCGAATTCCCCAACTATTTGACTGAGTTGGAGGCGGATGAGATTATTCAAATTGCGAAAACCGAAGGCTACCGAATTGAAGATGAACATCCCAAACATGTTCGAGATGTCAACGTGACCAATTGCGATTCCATTCGTTGTATGCGACAACCATTTGTTTCCGAGCTGTATCGACGGGCCTCTCAGCTACTAGGATATCATCCGAACAATTTCGAATCCATGGAGTTTATCGACTATGGTCCAGGACAACACTATGTTTGGCACGCAGATGAATACAGCTGGAAATATCCCATCAAGGATCCAGCTGCCGTCTTGTCAGGACCACGACTGTTGACCATGTTCCATTATCTATCGGATGTGGAAGAAGGTGGCGAGACTGCATTTGCTGGTCCGGATTCGACTGGTCAAACCAAACGATTGTTTGTCAAACCGAAAAAAGGAAAGGTCATCTTGTGGGCCAACATGAAGGATGACTGGAGTTTCAGTGAACATAGTGCCGTTCACTCGGCGCTTCCGGTGCGAAGAGGACGCAAATTGGCTGGGACTCTTTGGATCCATGCATCGGGCTTTCGGGTTCCTGAGCTTTATGCTGGGATTGAATGCAACCCAAGATATTTTTATCAGCAGCAGCAGCAGCAGCAGCACCACCAGAACTAAGGATATACTCATCTCTCCAGCAGTCTTGTCAGGAAGAACATTTCAGGGAATCGATACCTACCTATCGACTAGGGCAATCTTGTTGGGTTGAAAATAGGCCTAGCAATGTCAAGATGGACTGGAGAGGCAGACTGAATGATTCCATGCCGTGCTTTCAGAAGTCAGCATGAGCACTTTGTGTTTCACCGTAGAGTTGCTGGAACGGCCGGGAAATAGAAATTTAGCATACAATTCTTGGGGGTAAATATTGATTTTCCCGGCCGTCCCTGCTCTATGATGCTAAAAAGAACACGATGGTGTGGAAATGCTTCGTAATGGTGTGTTATGAGAAGTACGGATGTATAGATGCCATCTCTCTAAGCCAACACGGCAACCGCCACCACTAAAGGTCACTTATTGATGGACCTATTACCTTGAATGTGATTGACTCCAAAACAAAAATGCAATTCAAAGTGCGCAGGGCTCTCGTATAGCGACACATAAAATAAATTGGGTTAGGGATTGACCCATTTCCCAGATCGTTACGACCGTTGTACTGGGAATGTGGACCGACACTTTGCTTTGTTTGGTTCATTGTCGGTTTTCTGTCATTCGGAACGTCTCCATTGTCCGTGATGGAGTCAGAATAAAAAGTCAACAATACAAGAGTCCAGTCTTTGGATCCCTGCGAATAGAGCATTTTATGCGAATCGCCGATAGATAGATCAAGCATAAACTGGCCTCATGACGAATGTAAATTTTGACTCACAATTATTGTCAGTTGAGTTCTCACCCTAATTTCTTTGAAGTATGATATGACATTCTGACACATACTTGTCCTTCATGGATGTTTACAAACCTGGGGTGGTATGGAATAGGAGTTTTCCATGTAGAAGTGTATCAGCAATAGATGATCAACTCGGGGTACAATGAAGAATACGCCAGAGCTCAATACCAGTCGCCCTGTACTGTCGTGCTCAGGCACAGTGCGGCCCCAACCAAAGATTCAAAATATAGGTGTCTAGGAATAGATTTAGAATGACATTTACGAATGCTACGGCGGAAATGAACCTTTGGCTCTGGTTTCCCATTGAGCTCTTTCCACCAATCCAGGTGACTTCCTTGAATCTGACAGTCTACATGAACAGCGGCCAAGAACATTTTTCTATCGAATCAATCATTCTTGGTAAATCAAAAAATAAGCTGTAGATGTTCAAGTGCTGGAACCTGAGCAAGCGTAGCAGAAGGGTCCTGGTTGACTTGAAGAGAGGTCTGGGTCCTCCTGATTATTTACAGGGCAGCTGCTGGCACTGGAAAACATCATCAAAACATTGGCGTTGTTTGGAAGCCGTGGGCCCCACGCACAAAGATTCTGATTGAGCGATGATGCGCCAAAGAACATGAAATTCATGAAAGTGACAGAAGAGACATCCCATGATGATATGTCTTGATTGAATGATGATGCTTCGTAGAACATCTCACTCATATCAATGACAGAAGAAACCTCCCATTGTGACAAGTCTTGATTGAAGTCGTATGCACCAGAGAACATGTAGCTCATGTCAGTGATGGCAGAGACATCCCAATTCGAAATGTCTTCGTTGAACGTTCCCTGCTCACCAAAGAGGAAACTCATGCTTGTCACACCTGCAGTGAAGCACCAGTCTCCGATCGGGCCATACTGAGCTTCAATGAATGCCTTGGACGAAAACCAGTTGAAAACTGTTTCGTAGAGCTCACCGTTGGTTTGAAAACATGGTAGTGTCACTCCAGGGGTTGGTATTGAAGTCGGCCCATATGTCGGCTCGCTAGTTGGTACTGGAGTGGGCCCATACGTTGGCGCGCTAGTTGGTATTGGAGTCGGCCCAGAGGTCGGCCCAGAGGTTGGATTGTGAGTTGGATTATCCGACTGCATTACACTGGGTCTAGGCGTGGGTTCCGGTGTCACCAGTGTTTCGGATGGCGCCGGTGTCACTACAATGACAGGAGCAATAGATGGCGTAGGTGTGGGGGCTTTGCTAGGAACTTGCGATGGAAATGCCGAGGGTATTTGCGTTGGGATTGGGGTTGCTCCCGGAGCTGGAGCTAATGTTGGTGATAGAGTCGGTGGCGGAGTTGATATCAGTGTCGGAGCAATAGATGGCGTTGCGGAAGGTGTCTGGCTTGGTGAAGTCGAGGGTTCTTTGGTAGGTTCAGGAACCAGAACACTAGGCCCGGACGGTCCCGGGATAGTTGCCTCTTTGGTCGGGAAGACTGATGGAGCATCACTGGGCTTGGAAGACGGCATCACACTTGGAGCCTTGGTAGGACCAGTCGCACTAATACTACCCCTCGCGGTTAAGATGTCAATAGGATCTAACAAACCAATCGTACCTTTGAGGTTTTCGCCCTCTGGAAAGAATTCAGAGATCAGTGTCACCAAGTAGAAGTTAAGTTCATCTCCCCGAAGCACTAGATTCATCTTGACTTTGACAAAGCTGCAGTTTGGAATGTCAGAGGTAGTAGAGCATACCTCCTCTTGATCGACTGCCTGGATTTCCAACACATCCGCAATCATGTATCGGAGAGGATCCGTGGATGATTGCAGTTGGCGCATCGTTTCACTCCGGACACCTTTCAAAGCTGGGCTCCCATTTTCCACCAGTCGGCGTTGAATAATATCACACCCCACAAGTCTAGGAAGCAACCACTCTTCAATCTTTTGCTCCACCTCTGGCAATACAGAAGCAATGGTGGCGTCGAAAGTAGCCAAGCCGAGATCAAAATCGACCTCGAATTCGCGACTCTCCAAAGTACCTTCCTCGTCCAACGGAGGATCCCTGTCAACCAGACGTTGACAATCTTCAAGGTCGGGTGGAGGATACTTGAAAGCAAATGACGTGGGAGGGTTTGTTGTTGCAATGGTTGGATCAGTCGAAGGGGTTTCCGATGTAGTATCATCAGCAGGATTTCGAATATCCGCGTCAATATCAACCGAGTCGTTGCTTGAGCTACCTTTTATCCCAAAGTATGCCCCCACTCCACCTCCAATCAGAACCATTAGAACCACAATAATCACCAAGTTACGCCGCTTCTTCTTCTTCTTTTTGTTCTCTAGCACCATGTTCTCACGCTCCTGCTCCCGACGTTGTTCCTCCTCTAATTCCTCGCGCTCCCTTTCCTGACGTCGTTCTTCCTCCCGCAATCGTTTTGCTTCTTCCTCTATCCTTTTGCGAATGCGAGCTTCTTCTTCTTCTTCTGCTTCAGTAGCACCGCCAAGGATGTCATCCTCCTCCACAATGGTGGCATTTACAGCATAACCTTCATCGCCGTTTGGTGCAATCATTGCGCTGCTATCATTAGTACTGTTCACACCAATCGCCCTATTGTGTTGTTCTTTGTTTTTGTTGCTTCTGTTTCGTGCCTCTTTGCGACTTCTTGCCCGATCTCGATCGTTTCGCTCAGCCTGTGCTCCCGGAGTAGATGATCCTCTGTTGCGATGACCTTTCTTCTCGTCACTTTTTCTGCTGTTGCTGCTGTTGCTGCTCCTGCTGCTACTGCCTTTGTGACGAGATGATGTAGAACTCGAGTGTGCGCTATGACTCCTTCTGGGTGACTTTTCATTTCTGCCAGAAGACTTTTTGCGAGCCACATCTGAAGAGTTTCTCTCATGTGAGACGCCCGGTCGAGATGATGAAGAAGAGGAAGAAGTTCCATGACGGGCTCTTTGCTTGGCTTCCCGATCCTCTTGAGTACGACGTTCGCCTCTGTTAGACTTGGAAGTGTTGACACTTCCAGATTCAACACCAGGTTCTTCGGATTGATTCTTCTTGCCGTGTCTTCGACCTCGTTCCTTTGCCTTGGCATCGTCAGCTTCGCGGTCTCTGGCTTTGCGACTGCGCTGGTGCTGTTTGTCGTTTCCTTTCCCTTGTGGTGTGGCGGTGTCCATGATGATTTATTGGTTTGCGTATCACTGTAAAGAGTCCTGCCTACAGTATAAAGATGGAAAGAAACCTCCAACATTTTGAGACTGTGCGTGCGCGGCATTCCATATTTTATTACAGTGTTCAGTGTTCCTAACCCTTCCCAAGATTCGAACGCACTTATTGCACGCACAACTGTATTAATACCTACCGTACACGTACAGTAAGTACAGAATGGTTTTTCTCCGTAAAAAAAAAACATCAGCATGGCCGACCGTAATTTGAAATTGAGAAAACGATGACGAATCAATCAATCGATGTCTTGCCCTTGATTCATTCAATCTGATTATTGTGTCGTCATAAGAGAAGGGCCGAGGCACCCATCTGATACACATAGACATGACAAGGGACAAGTGCTGCCATCAAACAACAAATTCTCAGCGCCTAAGAACGAGCGTGTAGTGAAACACGGCATGTGAAAGGAACTGCAGTCTCGAGATCCTGGCCCAACGGTCACAGGTTTCGTTGCTTTCCAAACATGGCACAAATCATCTTTCCTCTTTGGAAACATTCCGCAAACTTTCCAAGCTCTTACTTTTCCAATCGATACTTGAGAGAGCACACAATTTCAGAATCTGGATTGCTTCGTTGTTATTGCACCCACGAACATGAAATTCATCTCGACCCTCTTGTTTGCTACTTTGGCTATCTTCGGTGCCGATGCTACGCCAATCTCATCGGTAAGTTTGCTGTTATCACGAGAATGTCATCTTTGCTATGCCGGTGCTCATTATTGTAACTGCCTTATTTTTTGGTACAGGATCACACTTCCGGATGCCTCAACTTTCCAGACGATGGAAGTTGGATACAAGTGCCGGACTTTGAGTCCAACGGTGAATTCTTGGCCGCACTGAATTCCCCCTTTCAATACAGTGCCGAAAGCAACCATTCGACTCAAGTAGTACGGGTCAAACCTACTGGAGAACTCGTTTCGGGTGACAGTAACGATGATGATGGTTGGACTCTTGCTATTTTCGATACTGCGCCTCCCCGTGACGAACGTCTTGCTCCAGGTAGAATGTTTGAGCTTTATAATCCCAACGCGCCCAAACACCAGGCTTGGTACAAGAATGATGAAAATGGCAAGTTTGCAGTGGCTTGGAATTCCACCTCTGGCGATGGCACTGCATTCAATTCCTATCAGATTGTGCTCTCGACGACAAACTACTCTACCAATAGCACAGATATGAGAGACGGCAACAATGTCTGTTTTTGTTACGGTGATATGCAGTGGGGTCCAGGAAAGGTGAAGGTTCACTCCTCTGGAACATTGGATCATGCCCATGTGGACTATTCCGCTGGGACCTTTGATAATGCCGCTGTCCACTCGTTGGACCACAAGACTTGCTGCTTTAGCGCCGACAAGCTGAATGGACTGGGACCAAACCACAACTTTTTGTCTCTGTGCAATAACGCTGCCAGCCCAACCACGGAAGCTGGCTCCAATGGCGACCCGCACTTCAAGACTTGGCACAATCAACACTTTGAGTATCACGGTCAGTGCGATCTTGTCTTGACCAAAGATCCCGACTTTGCCAATGGACTTGGCATTGATGTTCACATTCGCACCAAACTCGTCAGACACTGGAGCTATATCAAGAATGCTGTAATTCGCATTGGCAATGATATTTTGGAGATTGAAGGTTCTTCTGTGGAGTTTGATTCCAAGCCTCACTACTGGATCAACTACGAGTCCCAAGGAGAGCTTTCCCAGTTTGCTGGGTTTCCAGTGAAGATGTTCTCTCAACAAGGAACGGCAGTCACCAAGAATCGAATCGAGATTGACTTGAGTTCTGTCTATCCAGGACAAAAGATTGTCCTTTCTACCTACAAGGAGTTTGTCAAGGTTTCGTTCGAGAATGCGAATGAGGAATCGTTTGGAACGAGTGTTGGTATGTTGGGCGATTTCAATACTGGCCAAACTTTGGCTCGCGATGGCGTTACTGTGCTCGATGACTTTACCGACCTTGGGCATGAATGGCAAGTCCTTCCATCGGACAAGCATTTGTTCCGTGAAGCCTCTGCTCCTCAATTCCCCGAAACATGCATTGATCCCGAAGATCCACGTGGCGATCGCCGTCGTCGTTTGGATGGATCTTCTATTGGTGAGGAAGAAGCCGAAACTGCCTGTGCTGGCATTAAGGACGAGTTGGACCGCAAGGACTGCGTGTATGACATTTTGGCCACACAAGATATGGACATGGCGGGAGCTTATTGAATAATTCTCCTAGCATAATATGAATGGGTGATGTAACTATGAGAGTTTATCCATGTTTTTTATTTGCATTGCTTTAGTGTTTTAGAGCGTCTTGTGATTTTAATTGTTGAAACATTTGCTTCCTCATTTTGCGTTGTCAATAATCTTCCACACTTTGAGATTGCCAAGAAGTCGAATAACACGACCATATACTCTGGCAGTTATTTGACAATAATATATTATACTCGTACACATGACGAGCGAAAACAAGCACAACATACGATGAATGCTAAACCATGGCTGACCGTACATGGAACACTGCGCAATGTATCGGTGACAGTATGCATGGAGGCCTCGTGTATCGTGCTATGCTAGAAGTGAAGAAACGATGGCTATCGTAGCGACATGAGAGAGCGACATGAGCCAGACTTTTGAAAGTAACAGCGAAACCACGTTCAGAAATAGAAACCGAAACCGATCTTGAAACGGTCTCGGCAGGTTGATTTTCTACCCAAACCCCACGGAAACTATCCGTTTCAAATCCAAACTGAAAAATGCATCAGTCTTCTTTTCCAATCGAGACTGGAGCAAACAATTTCAGAATCTGAATAACCTTACCCGTTGTTGCACGAAAATGAAATTCATCTCGACTCTCTTGTTTGCTTCTTTGGCCATCTTCAGTGCCAATGCTAACCACCTTCCAACTACGGATTTTGGGCCAGGCTGTCTCAACTTTCAAGATGACGGAAGCTGGAATCAAGTCCCTGATTTTGTGACGAATGATCCATTCTTGGTGGCTCCAGAATCCCCATTTCGCTTCAGCTCAGACACCCGCTTTCCCGACCAAGCAGTACGGGTGGGAGCCACTGGTGAGCTTTCTGCTTCCGACTACGATTGGACTCTTGGCATTTTTGACACCAAGGCTCAGAATGGTGGTGCCATATATGAAGCCTGGTACAAGAGTAACGATCATGGCACGTTTGCCACTACTTGGCATGCGACATCGGCCAATGGCAATAAACACAATACCTTTCAGATTGTAATCTCAGAGGCTATTGGGGGCGACATGGGAGAAGGCAACAACGTTTGCTTTTGCTACGGTGATATGCAGTGGGGACCAGGCAATGTCCATGTTGCATCCTCGAACAGCAGTGATCACACTCACGTTGACTTTTCGGGTGGAACCTATCAGAATGCGGCTGCAGACAACTCTTTGGATCACAAGACCTGTTGCTTTCATGCTGACAAGCTAAAGCAATTGGGATCTAGCGCAGACTTTGCAAGCCTCTGTCATTCCCGAGGTACCGAGGCTGGCTCCAATGGCGACCCACATTTCAAGACTTGGCACAATCAACACTTTGAGTATCACGGTCAGTGCGACCTTGTCTTGACCAAAGATCCCGACTTTGCCGATGGACTTGGGATTGATGTTCACATTCGCACCAAACTCGTCAGACACTGGAGCTATATCAAGAATGCTGTAATTCGCATTGGCAATGATATTTTGGAGATTGAAGGTTCTTCTGTGGAGTTTGATTCCAAGCCTCACTACTGGATCAACTACGAGTCCCAAGGAGAGCTTTCCCAGTTTGCTGGGTTTCCAGTGAAGATGTTCTCTCAACAAGGAACGGCAGTCACCAAGAATCGAATCGAGATTGACTTGAGTTCTGTCTATCCAGGACAAAAGATTGTCCTTTCTACCTACAAGGAGTTTGTCAAGGTTTCGTTCGAGAATGCGAATGAGGAATCGTTTGGAACGAGTGTTGGTATGTTGGGCGATTTCAATACTGGCCAAACTTTGGCTCGCGATGGCGTTACTGTGCTCGATGACTTTACCGACCTTGGGCATGAATGGCAAGTCCTTCCATCGGACAAGCATTTGTTCCGTGAAGCCTCTGCTCCTCAATTCCCCGAAACATGCATTGATCCCGAAGATCCACGTGGCGATCGCCGTCGTCGTTTGGATGGATCTTCTATTGGTGAGGAAGAAGCCGAAACTGCCTGTGCTGGCATTAAGGACGAGTTGGACCGCAAGGACTGCGTGTATGACATTTTGGCCACACAAGATATGGACATGGCGGGAGCTTATTGAATAATTCGCCTAGCATAATATGAATGGGTGATGTAACTATTAGAGTTTATCTATTTGTTTGAGTACCTGATTCATGGCCGGATCCTACTGATGTCAGATCTCTCTTCCATTGGCTTATGGGTCCTAGTTCGTTAGAAAGCCATCTGTCACTTGACAAATTAGAGGTCAATTTTGTGTTTCATTTTTATGTTATTGTGAAAGGAGGCTGCCCAATCCATTGTGCCGCCTTGCATTCGGTCGTCCATTACAGACTCAATTTGCGGGTACAGTACGGTACCAGGTACAATAGTACGAATCTGGTACCAGTACACGTGTACTATACCGTATGTATTACTATGCGTGTTTGCATGACCTATTCGATCGCTGAGAGCATATGTATTACTGTATTTTTCTAATTATTGCTGGTACCGATATTCCTTATTCCATCTTGTTCTTTTTGTGTTTTGGAACTTTGAACTTCAGTATGTTCTGATACACAAATCCAACCTCTCAGATTTTCACAGGCAGCACTTTTGAACACTTTATAAGAAGAATAACGGCGGTCCATAGCCATTGCCGGTACGCTGATCATGATCAGCCAAGTGAAGGGCTCGGCAGTCTTGGCAGGCTTATCGTTGTCTGCTGGTGCTGCACTCTTGGTTTGGAAAATTTTCAAAGAAGAACGACGATACGAACGATCCAAATTCATTCAGGAAGAAATCCGTGAGGAAGAAGCAGCAGAAGGCAGCGATACTCTTCCTTCTATTATCTCGCACTTTCAAGGAACCAAGATCTCTATCAAGTCTGATATCACGGAAGCAAACGGAAGACGAACTCTAGCATACTATCAAAAGGCAAGGGATGCTCATCTCTATTCTCTAGTCTTGGGTGTAAGATCATATCCAAGATTGCGCAATCGTCGAGAGAAAACCATGAAGAGAATCATGCATTACTACACAGAAGGCACAAAGTCACATAGAACCATTATTATCATGTGTGACAATGAAACTTCTTCCATGCTCAACATGGCTCGCACCAACATTCTGGATCCACTCAACCTTTCCCACGACATCACTACCGAAAAGGCTTGGATACCAGCCAAGAATATAATACCCAATGAAGATTTGCATGTCACAGTAGCGACACCTTGGTGGTGGCACACCATGCGAGAGGGCAACCAAGAACTTTCCGAAGAACTCGTGACGAGATTCCGTCAGACTTTAGTGTCGGAATGTCATCATGCCTTTCAAATCGAATTGGAACGATTCGTCTTGCTGGGTGGGCAGTCCCTGGTGGCTCTTTGGCGTTGTATTGGGCAACGGAAGACAGAAGATGGCTTCATTATATACGACCGACATGGTTCCGAAATTGATCCCTTTGTCAAGCTGCGAAAGGACATTGTCCGATGCTTTACGACCGACCAATTTGGGGCACCTCTGACGTACAACGAGCGCATCGGACTGCGGGAGTCCATGACAAACGAGGCGACGCCTGTCACTCCCTCGCGAGGCAACTTGGTGCGTGCCAATTCCATTGAACTCAAAACTCCAGGTCTTGGGAGTGGTGATGGCTTTATTCATACAACGCTTGCCCGTCTTCCGTTAGACTGTTTGAGCATGCAAGATGTCGATTTGGATCCAATTCATCGCCTCTGTCGTGAAGCAACGGCAACCTATTGTGGACATCGCATGGTGGTCAAGGAATTTCGCTTTCTCGAAACCACGGGTGCGGGGGGTGAGTCGAATCCCTGCATTGCTCCCATTACTGACGCAACGATTGAAGCTCCCGTGCGGGTGCAAATGACAGAAACTGGCATTGTGGAAAACCATGACCTCCATACCGCCAAAAAGGTAGATACCAATGCCACGATTGGAGCTGTGGGTGGCTTTCATGGAAAGACGTTGTCGATGGATGGGCTATTCGACGGCGTGGACGTCAAGGCGGTCAGAGTTTAGGGAAATATATATATTCGACAGAAAGGACAACGAATGACAAACAGATGAATATTCTGTATATTGAAAACATACATTTCCTTTTATTGCTATTGTCAATCAAAAAGCTATAAATATCACACTTTGAATACATTCATACTATTATATATACTATTCAAGTCATTGCAAGCGCTTACAAATCGAATAATTCACATAGCCTTCAAAACACAACACAGATGTAGCAGTTATTATTATCCATAACATCGAATTTCATCCTCGCATCCCTTATCGGCACTCTGCGGTTGATTGAATTGACCTCCTTTCGATAGATATTGTTGATGATATGCCTCGGCTGGCCAAAAGGGCGTGGCTGGATTGCATTCCGTCGCAATTGGTTGTTTGGCATACTTTTGCTGTTCTTGGGCAAACCGTGCTCGGGCAGTGGCTTCTTGTTCCACCGAATGGTAATAAACACCCGTTCGATACTGTTTTCCTCGGTCGGGTCCTTGTCCATTGACAGTGAGCGGATCCACACGATCAAAGAATACATCCAATAGTTGTTCGTAGCTACATTCGGCTGGATCGTAAAGCACAATGACGGCTTCTGTATGCCCTGTAGCTCTTTGTCGTTCAATGAATGAATGAATGAACGAACGAATGAATGAATGAAAAGAGGAGGACATTCAATACATATGTCGTCTCATGTCATTCATCCCTAGAAACAAAGGTAAACTTACCCAGCACAAACCGCATCGTAATTCGGTCGCTTCTCCCTTCCTCGTGTGTATCCTGATGCCGTATGTACCACCCCTGGTACTCGTTGATAGGCCAATTCCAATCCCCAGAAGCAGCCGCCGGCAAATGTGGCCAAATGATATGTATTCGTAGTAGTAGTAGTAGTAGTTGTTGTTGTTGTAGATGATTCAATGGTAGCAGGCACTTTTTGATCCAAAGCCAACTGGGCCAATTCCGGTACCGGGTAGGGCATGGAATCATAGTCGATCGCAGACTCAAAGGCACCCCCACCGCCCAGAGAGGAAAAGAAGCGACCGAAAATCATGGGCATTGCCGTGGAAGAAGACGATGATGGACAATTACTTGCAGTTTGGGGGCCCACTAGCCTGTTTCTCTGCTGCAACAGTCGTTGGTATTGGTGGATGGGTCGAGTAGTACCGGTAGTAGCAGCAAGTAGCAATCGGGAGGATGCCTGTTTTTGAGACATAGCCCCTATGGTAGCAGTAGTAAATCCACGAGCACCATAATTGGAGATGGAGGAAAGTGTTGTAGCTACTGCAATCACACGAATTGTTGTTTGCCTTGTGGAGAGATGCATGTCTATACTGCAGGGAAGGAGTTGATGATGAGGTGCAGTCTCTCGTTATTGTTTTCTTCTTTTCAGAATATGAAACAAAAGCTTATCGGACATTATGTTGTCCGTAGTGTGTTCGACAGACCCGGAGAAACTTTGGCAAAATTTTCGTCCGGAAGCACTCAAACACGTCTCATGGTCAACTTTTCGCCGAACGCACATATACCGGTATACCGGTATGAGACTGACTATAAAACAAAACACAGAATTAGAATCGCTATTCTCAGCAACCAATAAACCACAACAACCTCTGCAATCAATAGGATGAGTTGTACCAGTATATAGAAGGAAGGCAATAGCAACAAAGAAGGGACACAACAATACTGAAAATGTCGCGATCCCTCCCAGACGAATGGGACGATGAACTTCAAGATGACGACGAGCTTCAAGAGGTTTCCAGGCGGGAAAGCATCTCTCGCCATACCAACGACAGTGATGATGCCTTTACCTTTGTGACTATGGATTCCGAATTTGAAGAGCAGACTATCGAATCATCGTTGCCAGAAGAGAGCAGTCCAACGAAGCCCTTCCACAAACGACCCACTATGGCACGGCAACTGAGTCGCATCGAAGATGGAGAATCGATAGAGTCGCCAGATTCTTCCTATGCTTCTTCTTCCTCCTCGTCGTCTTTGGAGCCTCCTCCGGGACACACAGAAACCTCTGCCGATGGATTTCGGCAACGTTTGAATGATGCAATGAGTAGTCAGGAGGACGATGGTGAAACTAGTGATGACAGCAGCAACAGGAGCCACAGTAGCAGCAGTTCATCATCCTCTTCTTCATCATCATCATCTTCTTCTTCGGCAAGTCAGGCAACTGATGGTGAAGAAGAATCACGGCATGATGAGAATGCTGCAAGTAGTAAATCTTCCTCCAGCATTGAAGCACCACCCGGTATCAATGGTAGTCAAAAGTCCCATGACAGTGACTCACATTCGCTCGAGCAGGACTCCTTTGATGATGCTTCGTATTATGTGCCCTTGAAACCCTCGAAACCAAGGTCGAGCATTCTGAAAAATGCAAATGATGCCAACTATGAAAAACCTCCTGGGGAGGGTTCCATGACCTTTGGTGACGATTTTCAACAAGCCATGGCCCCAGCGGATCAAGAAATTATGATGGCGAGCATGCGATCACTAGTGCAAGAAAAATTGACCGAAGGGAGGGTTTTTGAGAAGGACAGTGACATGCACAAGTCGGTGAATTATGTCATGCAAATGACCACCAAGGGCATTCGGGATTTCCTAGAGAAACCCTTGCCTTCTACTACGGACGATGAACAATCCGTTGACACCAACTTTTTCAGTGCCGACGATACGGAATTGTTTGAAGTGGTAACACTGGGGGAATCAGTGTCGACCCGAAGTGACAGACACAACAATGAATATTCGGAACGGAGTGCCCATACCTACTCGGAACGAAGTATGCTCAGCATGCCCGAAATTGCGGAAGAACCGGAAACGAAAAGCATCGATGCCTCCTTGGACGATGACATTAAAACGGACACGGATTCCAAAGCCCAAAGCGCATCTTTGGCGACGGGAACGGATACGGACTCCAAGATGTATAGTGCATCCGTATCCATTGCAACCTTTGATGACCTCAAGACCGAAACAAGTTCGGTAGATTATGATGCCAAAACGGGACAAAGCGCATCTGTTTCCATTGGAACCTTTGATGATCTCGGGACGGAAACGACGTATATTGAACCTCTAAAGGATGAGACTGCTGCTACTATTCCAAAACTCGTGGCGCAGCAGGACAATAGTGTTTCGACCCGATTGAGTGTGGCTTCCACCTCTGTCTCCGATAATTCGAATAGAGACAAGATTGCTTCGCCGGCCAAGGAAGAAGAACCGGCTGCCAATACCACCGCCAAAGCTTTTTGGAAGAAACCGCCTTTGCCAACCTTTAATAGCGAGGTGGCCAAGATTGCCAAATTGAAGCCAGTCAATGAACATCCAACAGTTGCGTCCAAGAATGTTGAAACTGCTGCAACTGCCGCCAAGGCATCAAGTGTTGGAAATGATAAAACGAGCAATGTACCGACATTCTTGAAGAAGCCACCAATTCGAACCTTTGCGGCTGAGGCTGTCAACAGTTCTCTCCGCAAAAGTATTGCAGCCAAAGCTACTACTACCCCGACAAAGCTGCCAGTGTCCAAGGACATGCCATCAATGATGCCCGCCACTGATGACGATGATTCTTCGTCAAGTTCGAGCGATGACTCGTCAGCGTCGGAAGCACCGTCGTGGATGAAATCAATGAAGGCGGCAGCCAAGACACCGCCCAAAGTCCCGTCCAAGCAAGTGGAATCGACGCCTTCCACGGCAGGAGCAAGCAAGACGACACCAGTACCGCCCAAGAGCAAACCATCACTGGCAGCAACCGCCAATGTCTTTGCCAAATTGGCAGCCCTTGACAAGGGATTCAAAGCAGCAAAACCAACGCCAACGCCAGCACCAGTACCAGTCCAAGCTTCTGCTCCTAGAGTGATAGCAAGCACACCACAACCCAAGCTAAATTCGAAATTTGGGTCACTGCTACCTCCTCCAGATGATTCCTCCTCCAGCGACGACGACTCGGACGACGATTCTTCAAACGGTGGCAATGGTGGATTGGATTGGATGAATAAGTTCAGTGCTAAAAAGTTGGATGTGGAGACAAAGTCAGACCCAAAGAAGGCAGTAGATGAAAAGTCAGAAACTGCTAAGGAAGGGGAAAAGAAGGAAACCAAACCCAAAGTCTCTAACAAAGTGGCAGCTCTGGCGCAATCCCTAAAAAAGGAATCGACCAAACCAGCCCCCAGCATCAATGCACCAAAAAAGTCGGATACTGCCACATTCAAGAGTATCAAGGAGCGAGCCAAAGAGGTCAATCCAGGATTGGAGCTTAAGTCGGAAAAGAAGGAAGCCGAAAAGAAAGTGGCAGAAAAGGAGGTAGAAAAGGAAGCAGAGCCTTCTAAGATTGTGGAAGTCAATGAACAGGCGAGCATCGACAATAGTGCCATGAAAATCGATCATTCGATCTTTGGACGCAAGGTCAAGACCAAGAAACCGGGAGACTCCACGTTGATGAGTTGGCGCATGCTTCAGAATCAAAAGGAACAGGTCCAAGAACGGATCAAGAGGGCCAAAGAGCGCAAAGATAACGATGAAGATTCCTTGGAAGAAGTGTTTGAGAGACGGGATTCAGAAGCATCCATGAGCGACTCCGCCGTCGCGGCCCTATTTTTTGGAGCTGGAGGAGATGCCCCGGGCTCGCCCCGTCCAACACTGGGAAAGCGGCAATCCTCAAGATCCAGTTTGAATAACTCGGCAGCTGCGCTCTTTGGTTTCGCAGCAGGTTCTCCTAGTCCGCGGAGATCTATCCGACAAAGCATTTCCATGGGAGATAATTCAGCTGCAGCATTGTTTGGAATGGGAGGGGGGGCAATGTCACCCAGTCCACGCCAGTCGACTCGAAAAAGTGCTTCCATGAACAACTCGGCAGCTGGCCTATTTGGCTTATCTAGTCCAAGGAGGGGGAAACGACCATCCACAACTGTGAACAGCTCTGCCGCTCGAGAATCCTTAGGCATGAACAACTCGTCAGCTGCATTGTTTGGTGCGGGAGCAGCCGCGTCTCCTACTCCAGAAAAGACGTCAATGGATAGCAGCCACATGGAAAAGTCGGCGGCGGCTCTAATCAACACGCCAGCCAAAGATGCAGCTTCGGATAGCTCTTCCTCTGACGATAGCACTGCGAATGAAAAAGCCAAACCGGTGGAGCAAGCTTCGGCTACATTCCTACCAGACAACGATAGCGATGACAGCTCTGCCGCATCAGATGACAGCAGTACACTTCCAGACATCGCAGCAATACAAGCTATGGATGATGATCATTCTGAAACATTAGACGACAACATTGGTGTGCCGGAAACGCCACAAAGTCAAGACAGCGATGATGACAGTTCGGCATCACCGGTGCCCATCGTTGAAATGCCAGAACCCCCACAGCCAGAAATGACCGAACCAGAAAGTTTGGAAGACGACCCACCGGAAGTTGCAATGCCACCAAATGCAGAGCCTGAAGCGGAAACGACACAAGGTTCGGACGATGATAGTGATTCCGATTCCGATTCGTCTGATAGCGACAGTGATTCTGACTCCTCCAATGCCGAGGTAAATACCGAGGAGAACGAAGTGGAATTTCCAACCACAGAAGTTCCACCGCCTGATGATGATGATGTTCCTTATCCAACCACGGAAGTTCCGCCGCCGGATGATGACGATGTTCCTTTTCCGACCACGGATATTCCGCCGCCTGATGACGAGGTTCCCTATTATTCACCCGCTCAAGCAGAAGCGCCTGCCAGCGAGGACCTTCTCATTTCATCGGACCAGGACAACGACGATAGTTCATCCTCCTCCTCCGATAGCAGCAGTAGCTCTTCCAGTAGCTCCTCAAGTGGCTCCTCAAGTGGCTCCTCGAGCAATTCTTCCAGTAGTGGAAGTTCCTCTAGCGATTCTTCCAGCTCCTCGTCATCATCAGCGTCAGAAAACTTTGAGGCAGTGACATTCAGTCCGAAGTTGACGAAACAAATTTCGATGAGGCAAATGTCATCATCGTCACTGTCATTTAGCTTCGACGATCTCGATAAGTCTCCAATCAAGGAGGAACTGGAGGGATCGGTACAGTCTTCCTCAGGTGAAGATGGCCAGAACACAACTAATTCGAGAAGTGAAACGAATGGTGGTACTGATACGAAAAAGAAAAAAGGGAAGAAAGGCAAGTCAGGTGGGAGCAGGAAAGCCATCGAAACGAAAGGAGACGAGGCAAAGGGAGATGGCAAGAAAAAGGGAAAGGGAAAGAAAAGAGCATCAAAAGCCTCCGCAAGCTCAAGCAAAGTCGACTCGACAAGAAGTGGCTTGGGACCAGAGGACGAGACAGTGATTGATATTGGCGTGGATGGCAAAATTGAGGACGAAAACGATCCTTTTGCCAGTTCATGGAAAAGCCATGGCGCCAAAAGTGAGGACGAGAAAGATCCTTTTGCTAGTTCGTGGAAAAGCCTTGGTGCCAAAAGTGAGGACGAGAAAGATCCTTTTGCGAGTTCGTGGAAAAGTCATGGTGCTTCCAACGACACCAATATTTTTGACACAGGGTCGGCAAGTGGAAGTAAATCATCTGAATCAGATGAAGAACAAAGCGTTGTGCAAAAGCCGACCAAGGAGGCGGATTCGAAAGAGATTAAAAGCAAGTCGAAAGGAGGCCTATTCAAGAGAATTGCCGCTTTGTTTTCAAGAAAGAAAAAAGACAAACCGAACAAGACGGAGAGCGAAAATCAATCTCGAATGGAGTCCAGTAAAAAGAAGACTGATCAAGCAAAGTTGGATAAAGACAGTAAGCAACAAGGAAAGAGCAAGAAGAAAAGCAGCAACAAAACGAAAGCGGATTCTTTGAGAAAAAAGAAACGAGCTATAGAGTCAAGGCACGCTTCAAAATCCAAAAGCGCCAAGACTAGACGTTCGAGAAAGTCTGGTTCTGGTAGAGTTAGCAGTGATCGAATCAAGAAGTTGAAGGAGACAAAGCGCAAACTAGAGTCCCACGGCTCTTCAGGGAAGCGGGACAGGCGTACCTCTTCAAATCGACGTCCTCGTTCCCGTTCCAGGGATAAGTATCGTTCACACGAAACGATGAATGCTCATTACAGGAGTGGCGGGACCAGCGGCAAAGTCATGGAAATGCTTGAAACTCCACCTTCGTATACAATGTTTCAACCTCACAGTCAACCGTACGACATGACAAAGATGTATGACATTTCCGAAATGATCAGGGCACCAACCGACACTCATTTGGTTTCAGCTCAGCATCGGAAAACTTTGACCCAAGTGGAACTTATATCTCCCCCGACAATGAAAAGACCGGTTAGAATTGAAAAGGTTAGACACTCCACTCTTGCCTTGGAGGGTGTCATTGCTTAGATGAGCGACAGCAAAGCACCACTTCACGAAGCAAGCCATCAATCATTCACTTTAACTGACCACCAAGTCCACCGATCAAAAATACCTTTGTTGTTTCCATTCGTCGGGTATATGTTTGCAACATATAACCGACCAGAATGATGGCAAAGATGAGGGCGATTTGGTGCCAAGGTACAAGATTCTGCTTGCGTGCTTTGCAGCTTGTTAAAACAATAGTGTATTATTATTATTATTTTATTTCAACCGTTCTACCTGTACGTCAAATAGAATAGCTCCATCTCGCCGAGAGTTCTTGACAACCGAGTCCAAAGCCCGTTGATCGTTGGTATTCATGGGCTTGGGCTCGAGGTCAGGGAACTTGTTATAAGCAAGGTCTTGTGGCACAATTATTCGTCGAATACCCCCCTTCTTCATTCCAATCAAACCAGCTTCCAATCCTGGGACCGCTTCGCCCTTCCCAAGAGATAACTCCAACGGAAGTGCTCCAAATCCATCTGGATTGTTGTTTTTGGTATTGTAAAAGACCACCCCGTTCAGATTCAGTAACCGACCCGAGCATTGAATACTAACCTTTGAGTTCTTTCCAACAGCTGCGTCGCCTGTCCCCTCACGAAAGTCTTTTATCTTGATACCATTCTCCAAAGTCACAAATGGTTGATTTCCGTCCGGTGCCGGAGCTTGAGTTCCCACACTGGTAAACTCGCTTGGCTTGCTGGAGGTTGTTTCAGCCACCGCCGATTCTGTAGATGACAAAAGGATGGATGTCACGCTGGCAAAGGTTGCCAAGACTTTTCTTCGTTCCTGTAGGCTGAAATCAACGAGGTTTGATGAAGGAATACTGCTACTGTCAGAAGTTCTTTCCGATGATGTTTGGCAAGTAGTAGTAGTAGTACCAGTAGGAGTAGCAGGTGCCAGGCCTTCCACTGTCGTCCAAGCAATGGTCGCAAGGAAGGCAATTGTGTATCGTAGTCTCATGGTTCTGTCTAGTAGATTTGGACTGTTACAGAAATTCCCCATTCACAATGCAAGATACACTTGCTACTCTATTTATAATGATGGGTGATGGATGATGATGATGGGTGATGGATACTTGACACGCCTGACGTCAGTTGCGGTATCCATCCCATCAACTTTTGGGACGATGATGCTGGTCGCTTAATGGGTTGGGGGATAATACTCCCCAAATATATGCGGACGCCCTACGGACTAAGGATTCGGTTTGACATCAAATATAAATATAACGACGTTCTCATCACATTCCATATAAATTCGTTGTTGAATGAATGAATCATATCATCGCAATCAATATATAATCCGATAAACACTACAACACTACAACATCATGATGCTTAGCGCCCTCCGCCGTTCTGCTTTGTGCAAGGCAAGTCCATTCATTGAAACGTTTGATGAAAAATTCGTCTGAGAGGCGAAGGTATTCACAGTAGTGCGAGACGTTGAGACATTTGAAGTCGTTTGACACCACATGCAATCTTCGCTGAATAAGTCTATCGTGGTCTCACATCTCATTGTTGTCGTCTTCTTCTCTTTCATTTGCCACAGCCGGCCTCGTTTTCACCTACCCAACTGAGATTGATGTCTACCAAAAACCTGATTATCAACGCGGTAGGCAGTGACAGAACTGGAATCGTATCGGACATGACAAAACATGTTACTGATGCTGGAGGAAACGTCGGGGAAAGCAAAGCAGCCAGGCTCGGCAAATACTTTTCTCTCATGATGGTAGTGAACATCCCTGAGGAACATGTGTCCAAGTTGAACGCCCAACTGGAGACTATGCACGATTTGAATGCCACCGTATTCGAGACAGCGGAAGATGATGTGGTCATCAGTACCGTCAATTCAGCAATCGCATGTACGTATAACTAAATACCTAGAGATCGGGTTGGGATATTGATTGGAGATTGAAACCTTCTCCCTCACACTCTTCTCGTTTTCCAATTTGATTTGTAGATTCTGGAAGCTTTACTTTGGAAGGTGCAGATAACCCTGGGATTGTTCACAAGGTGACAAGCATTTTGGCCAAGAATGGACTCTCTATCGACAAAATGGAAACATCCGATTCTCTTGCCCCAGGGGGTAGCACTGTTCTTTTTGAAATGCATGGGATCGCACACGCCTACGAACCGTTGGCGGCCGGCTTTGATCTGGAAAGTATCAAACAGGAACTTCTTGATTTGGGAGACGCCATGAATTGTGATATTTCTATGGACGACCTATAATATGAGCACATGCATATGTACGAGGTAGCAGCATCGCCTTATATCATTCTGGAATGAAGGCAATGGTGCCATGACATAGGGTGACTGTCAATGTAGTTGGATCGGCGATACCATCGACCAATAAAGTGGTCCTTAAAAGATATATGATATCTAAAATGTTACAAGGGTATTCTTCCTGAATGTAAGGAATGGTCAACTTCAAAAATAAAGTATCAAGTAGATTGGAATGCTATTTCTAGAGACAAAGTTGACAGTGTATTATTCTGGTTCCAGTTTGAAAAATGAGTGCGCTGTACGGGTCGGATTATCAGACGAGAGTTTATCAGATTGTCCAACTCTATTAATGCATGCAATTCATATAAGAAACCAGAGGTAGCACAGGAGGAAGCGCAACGTAAAAGAAAAAGAGCTCAATGCTTCGCTCTACATCATCGGTTGTTACCAGGAATAATCGAAGGAGTCAGAAAACAGACGGAAAACAACAGACACAGTACCTGTAGGAGACGACAGACAAGTCCTATCATCCTCTAGAGAAATCAAAAGATTCCAAATGGACTTATTCGCTTCTGTTTGAACAAACATCAAGAACGTTCCAAACAGGAATAAGTAATAGTCTACACAGTTGTACGAGCTGGAAAAGAACTCAAGCTATTAGTACAACCTAACAGATGAGAAGCGACAGAAAAAGACACCAGGCTGTCTCTTCTCACTTCGCTGAAAACTCTCAGAATCTATCACGAACATACCCAACAAGAATAAATTTTCCTCCCTTCCCGCCCGCCCTGGTGGAATCTGGCCGCCTTTGCGTCTTTATGCGTAGGTATGGGTGTGCACCGTTGACCGCAAACAAGAACTATATGTTCAATGTAGGCAGAGAATAAATTCCTCCAAGGGTGAGGCAGGAATAGGGTAATCTTAATAACTATCTATTCCTAGACTTCAATTTCACTCTGTCAAATACAGAGCAGTCTTTCAAAAGGAATGAGTTGCAACTCTGTTGCGACTCTTGTACCAACATTTTTCACAGCCTCTTTGGTACGTAATAGCTTTCCACTGTCATGCTACTGTACAGTACCTTCTTCGCATAGCAACACCTGCAGTGTTTTTCAAGTTTCTGTCACGCGATAACTCATTGGCGCAAAATCCCTTTTCAAGCAGCCCGAAGTTGATGAATGTGTGTTCTATCGAGAATCCGTGATGTACGTCTTGTACACAGACTATTCATTATTACTGGCAGGTCCCAATTTGGAGGAAGTTGAGCGCGCAATTGAAGATGATAAAGCCAAATTGGACATTACGGTTGAAGGAGACATCCGGGATCTCCTTGCGGTGTTAACATTCAACGAAAAGAGGATGGTATACTTCATCTCACACAACCCCATCTTATTGATCAAATTCTTGACGATCTCAGGCTAGAAAAGGCAATGCCAAAACAAGATCAATTCCAGCTCCGCTTCTCCTGTGGCAGGCAAGGAGCCGAAGACCGTTTTCCAATGTTGAGGACGGACAAGAAAGTATTAACCTTTATCGACTGCTGCAGTCGCTTGGTTATCCCAATCACTACCCTCAATCGGAACCCCTGTCCGTCGAATGTAAAACTCGATTCAACATAGCTCCTGGGCTTGTCACCAGCACTATCTTCTGCATGCGTAGAGGTATGAATCACTTTGTCTTCCTGGTCCCTTGGTTTGTCCTTACCCCCGACCCTTCCACTGCCATGGCGATTGTGATAAGAACGCCCTTCTCCTGGAGGTTTGGAATGATGCTTGTGGCTCCTGATCCTTTCACCATCAGGATCCCTTGCCTTGATTCCTCGAATTGTACCAACACTTTCGGCATTGGCAATGCCAATCAAAGCGGCCAAGAACGGAACAACAAAGGAGAGCTTCATGTCTGTTTCAATAGAGACGGTTATCGTTTTTGTGAGTTCACAATCGAGAGAAGTTCAGCAATATCAAAAGATCGAAAGATCCAATTACCGAGGCTACAGGTTTTTGTGTAGAATCAACAGAAATGACCCAGTTCTGGTATTCCATGAAGACAAATCATTGATGGGTCTAGCGTAGGTTGTCAGATCAGAATATTCTGACAATCAAATGACTCTACCGTCAACTATCCATACGAGGTACTAGTACTGGTGTGGGAATTTTAAATGCTTGAAAGATGCAACATTCTACAAGTTTATATGTGTAGATGACAAAGCATACGTTAGGTTCTCCACCGTGTCAATGATGAACCGGCATTTTTGCCAATTATATGCTCCAATGTTTGAAAAGGATTTATGAGACAGATCGTGCTCAAAGCTACCGTTACCGGTAGGTTGCAGAGTGAAAAAAGGAGGTTTTAGTCTCTTCTACCGGTACAATTATCAACAGTTATAAAGTCGTATTGTAATTGTTTTATTTTGAAATTAAGTGAAATCCCAAAACTGGTCCCGGCGAACAAGCAAGGAAAACGCGTTTTTATTAGGCGATGAAAACGCGTTTCATCGAAACGCACTCATCGAAACGCACTGGCAGAAACGCATCACGGAAACCGTATGGTTAGACAGACGCCCAACTGTAGCATACAAGGACTCATCACTCATGCTCATGACTCATCATCGTCACTGGTTGTTTTCAGTGGCTGATACCTGTACTGTACCTGATACCAGATACCGATAGCGAAGACTGCATGGTTGGCTCTTACCAGCCTTCTTCTTCACCGACAAGGCGGTGTTTTCAGCTCAAGGTTGACCCGCCAATACAGTCAATGACTGAATTGAGGATGATTCTTCTCAGTTTGTGAAGGGTCTGATAGACGCTGAATCTGCACTGATCGGAGTCTCGTGTTTTGGTGCAATGTTGCAGATGTGACAAACATGCGAGATCTCCTCTTGGGAAGAAATGGCACATTGAATGAGGACATTTCGAATTGGGATGTTTCTGGTGTGACTGTCATGTATGGAATGTTCCTCCGGGGTGAAGTGTCATCCAATCAAGACTTCTTGTCATCTTGGGATGTTTCTTCCGTCACCAACATGAGACGGATGTTCCAATCTACCCCTTTCGAAAAAACTTGCTATCTTGGGATGTGTCTTTTGTGACCTCCATGCACATAATGCTCGATACGGCATCGTGGTCGTTCAATCGAGACGTATCATCTTTCTTCCATCCCTATTTGTTCTTCTGTCACAACAAGGCGGCAAGTGTTCCATGGAACAGCATCCTTCAATCAAGATTCGTCATCTTGGGATCATGTTTCTTCGGTTCAAACCATGCGAGAAACGCTTCGTGACGCACCATCTTTCAATCGGACTCTTTGTGCATGGGGCTCGCGCATTCAGACCGACACAGATGTTTATTGATAATTCTACATTTCGCGATTCCAACTGCCAAACAAAATCCAGTCCAAATCTCTCGCTCCTCAAATCCCAAAGGTCCCTTTTGCCACAACTGTTAAGAATCAGATAGATTTAATTGCCATTGTCAACATCCTCAGCAATTCCGTTTGATGAGTTCCAGATTTTTCTGACCGCTTTGTGATTTCTCTGCAACCAATGGAACACTTGTTCATTTGATTGGTTTAGAAGCAAACAAGAAATTCAATTTGAAAATGATGTCTACGCGTACACGTGTAAAAATAGTACACGTGTACACGTGTACAAGCTGCGTACACGTTTAATCCATATTTACAGTTGGAGTCATTTTGCACTTAACACTGTGACATAATTTGGAATTTTACATTTTCTTTGCAGACGGGAATTCATACGTAGCTTAAGTACTAAGCGCTACGAGTAGGATTCTCACCCACAAAATGGCAATTCCTTGACATCATCGTGCAGCTTATTGGCATACAATCAATGTTGTGCGTTGTCATCGTTTCCGTTTGCAATCTCCATGTTATGCTTGCTTGACATCTCCATTTCGTATCCTCGGATCATAAGCAGTCCACTCCTCCAGTCAACTAGCTAGGCTCAGGAGCGAGGAGTTTAAAACTGTGTGTCCCAACACAAGTCGGACGACCAAAGCTTGAGCAAGCCATAAAAACCCGCTAATGATAGTTTGGCGCCTAGCCCAGACCAGCTGTGTTAGGACTGCCCTAGCATGTACTCTTGAAAGATGGGGTGTGGGTCGAGTTCAATAAATCCGTGGATGTACACTTCTGCTGTGATGGTTCTTCGGTCAAAGAATCTATGCATGAAGTGTCCATCACTACAGCAGGTCGGAATATAGTGGAAGCACCCAACAATATGCCCACTAATAGTTATTATAGATCGCTTGCTTATAGTGTTTCAAATTATTTGTAGTTGCATAGTGGACACCCAACATCTTTCAATCATAAAGATGTCATTAACACAACAATCACACCATGCCGCATTTCATCACACCCCGCAGTATTTCAGATATTCGGACACAACAATCACATCATGCAGTATATGCGAGTGAGTAGGTAGTGGAAATGCGACTCGACGATCAAACATTGGAGTGACAAAACGCATTTCTCTCATTATCATCAAAGATCATGAATCTGGAGATTCGAGATGATGTCTTCCCTCGCTTTGTTGAGACTGACTCAACTACAAGATTACAGTGGATGGGAATGTAACTCGATCTTCCAGAGAAAGTGTCCGATATTTTTCGTAAACAAGTCGCAAGAAGACTACAAGTACAGATGTTGTTACTACACGTCAGATGGGAGTTTCCATCGTCGATTCAGGCAGTGGATCACAAAAATCTTTTGTGGGTTTCAAATATCGAAGTTTTGGATTACGCCAAAACTTTTAGATGTCAACCATGTATTTCGCGCCATCGCGCGAGGATGCTAGACCGGGCATACTCGGGCAAAAAACTGGCAGAAATACCATCCGTAGAGCATGGTACTTTAGCTACGTATGAATTCCCGTCTGCAAACAAAATGTAAAATCCCATATTATGTCACAGTGTTAAGTGCAAAATGACTCCTACTGTAAATATGGATTAAACGTGTACGAAATGAAAGAAAAATAGGGCGGAATATTTTCGATCCATTCGAACCCATAAAATCCAGACTTCTGTGTGAATGTATAAAATAAGGAACAAATAATAGCGACGACACTTACTCAATCGCCTGCCCAATCAGCTATCAAACGTAATACAACAATGAAGCCCGACTCCGTACACTCTTCTTCCTCAAGTTGTACAATATCTACGGGTGCCTGTGCTTCTCCGGCTAGAAGGGATCCTCTACGTTGCCAGTCCAATGCTATTATTTCCACAAACCTCATCAGTGACACAATGCTAAATGCTGCGAATGCAGCGAATGGCAATGACTCGACTAGTAACATCCCGGTGAAACAAGACAGTGCGAATGCAAATGCGACTGAAGATAAAGACGAGACCGCTATAAAGATGGACGAAACGAATACTGGTGAAAATATTGACAATGAAACGCATCCTGCAGAAGCAGGAAGTTGCCAGCAGAGAGTTTCGAATCAGCATGTCAAGACTGAATCTCAAATCAAACAGGATGGCACAAATATTGAGAAATAATTGCCAACTATCGCGCCAAATGCTATCGAGCGTAATTGCAATATGATCGCGGATCAGCAAGTCAAGGCAGAACCTCAAGCAATGCAACCAAAAGAGGAAGAGGACGAAGAAGAGCCAATGGAGTCGGGGGAATGGCTGGACGAAATAAAATCTCTCCTCGACTCTACCTACTCCAAGGGTGAAGTCTCCACTGGCCGTGAAATCCAAATGCCTGGACTTTATCCCAAGATTGTCGTAGATGACGCATGCCAGAAGCAAGGATACAGTCGATTGGCCTTTCCATTATTAAAATCTCAGGCATGTGCCTTGATTGAATCCACTGCCACGGAAAAAGCACCGTTTGGCAAGGGTCGAGACACCGTCTTGGATGAAAATGTCCGAAAGCTTGGCAAGTGGATGCCAGCCGAGTCCACTTTCTAGATTCCAAAGAGTGGACTACCAAACTACAGGAAATCGCAATTCAATGCGTAGACGATTTAGGACTAAATGACTATCAACTGAGCAACGTCAAGGCAAATTTATACAAAATGCTACTGTATGAACCAGGTGGTCACTTTTCCAAGCACCGTGGCACTGAAAAGGAGCCTGGTATGTTTGCCACAATGGTGATCCAATTACCATCCAAACACACTGGCGGTTGTCTACAAATTCATCACAATGGTGCCAAACGCCAGTATGATTGGAGTGGTGCCAAGAGTGACAATGGATTCTTTGCAACAGCATTTTTTGCGGACTGCGAACATGAATTATTGCCAGTGACCAGTGGATATCGACTATGTCTCGTGTACAATTTGGTGCTTTCCACCAGAATAAGTGAATCCTTGCCTTCCGCCCAGAATGTGGTTTCCACCAATCAAGAGCTCCATAGAATTTGGACCCAGTCCAAGGGTATTTGTTGGACCACAAGTACACCAAGAAGAATCTTCATTTTCGCAATTTGAAGGGAAGAGACCTCGAAATAGCTTCTCTATTGAGGAACGCAATCGACGAGCATGGGAACAAACTGTTTGTGGTTTGTTTGCTGCTTCTCGAAAAGCATGAGTTTTGTGACGCTGAATGTGGGTACCGCGGATATGGTTACGATGAGGATGATGGACCCTACACAATGCAGGAAGTTGTGGATTCGTCTGTTTCTGCCGATCACTGGATTGGTCCCGATGATACCAAGTTGAGTCAATTTACTCTACCGTTCGACGAAGAAGAGAATCTGTTGGTAGACGATCCTGAGGATGGTGTCTTTGAAGAAGACCCCGACGATGAAGAATACGAAGCTTACACTGGAAATGCTGGCCCTACGTTGGAGTATTGGTATAGGAAGAGTGCTGCAGTATTTTGGCCACGGACGAAACAGTTGGAGATTGCAAAACGAGCTGGAAGATCATTCCTTGAGTCCTACTTGGAAGCTTCTACAGTTGAATCGGATGTTCAAGCACATGCCAAGCAACTGGTGTCCCTGCTGGAGGAAAAGCGAAGTGAACGACTTACGGGCAAAGCTATCCGTGCAATTGCCAGATCCAAAGATGATGCTTTGATCATTCGACTATTAGATCGTGTTCAGCCGCAAATCCCAAGAGATGATGTTGCGCTTGCAATTGTCGAGGCGTTGCAAGTTTGTTCCTCGGAGTGTCTCAAGCAATCTTTTTTCACAATGCTTTGTCGTGTGAGCAACATGGAACAGCCGTCGAAGCAGAAACTTGCCGCTGAGGAATTGAAACATGGATCAGCCTTTGTTCGTTTATTGCAATCCCGTCGTGGACTCAAGGACTATGCGGCGCGAGCCAAAGAAGCGATTTTCGCGAGTGTCATTGAACACTTGGATTCCACTGTGCGAGCATCATCGAGCAACAACATTGGGCAGCTGACTGGGCAATTCATTGATGAACTAGCCCTATTCAAACAAATAGTGGATATTGTTGTGACCGTACCAACCTTTGTTGGCCCAACTTTGAAACATGTGATGACATTGGTACCAGACGCGACTTGCAACGAATATATAGTCCAATTAGCCAAAGTGCGAGCTCAACAACTCGTCAGTGCGACGCGTGATGGGGAACCCCATTTCACTTAGTGCCAGGCACAGTCACGTCGTTGGACCAATAGCCAATGTCAAGCTATGAATACCTTCCTGCAAGGTCCAAATAAAACCCAAACCTTCATTGGCTTTAACGATATCAGACAAGCTCGTGACTGGGCTTCAAAATTCTACGGTTTCCACGCCAGTGCAACAGAGCCTCAGGAAGAGGTCGTGACTCGCAGGTTGTGGTGACAAAAACAAAGGGCCATTGGAATGCCAGTATGAAAGCGTATGACGAAAAAATGGCATAGCTGAAGAAGCTTGGATCAGTAGTCGGTGTATCAGTTGCACCAAAGCGCACAGCGGCAAATGTACGAGATGTAACCAAGAAGCCAAAGTCTGCTGGACCTGTGATTGAGTTGGAAGAAGTTCCGAGGCAGGTCGTCGCGGAAAAGGAATCAACCAAAAAGTTTGCTGGGAATTTGACTGATCCAATAGTGCTTTGAACTAGAAAAGGCATAACCAGGGCACCTAAATCTACCCTACACACGGCACGAATGAGAAACATAAAGGTGTTGCAAAGAACATCACCTTTTTATCTCCCAGCGTCTCGGATCACCTGCTACGTGTCGAGATGATAAAACTGTAGAAAAACCCGGACGTCCAAATGAAGTGTTCCACGATATATATATTCTTGTTTTGATTCGATTTGTAATCGCTCATCTACATTCACACAATACCAGATCGGTGCTGTACCCCATTCATTGAAGTTTGCAGGGGGCGCTATTCAAAATATCAAAACCGATTATTTTCCCGCAATGGCTGGTGGCTGGCCATCAATATTTCAATGCAAGCCTGGCTTGGAACCCTTTGCCGCAACAACGACGTTGTTGTATGTGTTGCCATTGTGAGGGCAGTGCAGCACAGCACGCTTGTGTCATCTCGTTGCATCTGCAATCGCTCTGTGTAAATAACTTACCCTGCTACAATACAATAGCAGTACGAAGATACCATCTGAGCCGTGTACTGGTCGTACAATTTTTTAAAAAAATATTTATTTAGGCCTACGACATATCTTCGACCCACTCGAATGAATCATCTAGAATCCAAATCAATGACAATAGGGACGATAAAATTTTAAATGAATGAATGCGAATAAGCCATCATCTGCTACCAAGTATATAAATAATAACAATACGACAATGAAGTCCGTCTCCGCACACTCTGCTTCCCAAAGTAGAATTCGTGCAGTAACCCCGAGAACTTCTCGTGGGACGACAATAAGCGCGGAGGAAGAGCCAATGAATGCTTGGAACTGGGCGCAACAAATTGAATCCCTCCTCGACTCTAACTACTCCGAGGGCGAAGTATCTACTAGCCGTGAAGTTCAAATGCCTGGACTTCATCCCAAGATTATTGTGAAAGGCATGCCGGAAGGAGACAGTCGATTGTCCTTTCCGCTATCGAAATCTCAAGCACTTGCCTTGAAAAAATCCACTGCCACGAAAAGAGAGTATTTTGGCAAGAAGATCCGAAACGCTTGGCCAGTGGATGCCAACCGAGTCCAATTTTTAGATTCCAACCGTGAGTGGACTACCAAACTAAAACAAATCACAATGAAATGTGTTGATGACTTGGGACTTCAGGAGGACCAGAAGTGCGATGTCAAGGCGAATCTTCACAAGATGCTACTATATGAAGCAGGTGGTGGTTACTTTTACAGTAAGCACAATCGTGGCACCGAAACGGAAGCTGGTACATTTGCCACCATGGTGATTCAGTTGCCTTCCAAATACACAGGCGGTTGCCTACAAATCTGTCTCAATGGTGGCGAACTCAAATATGATCGAAGTGGTGCCAAGAGTGACGATGGATTCTTTGTTACAGCCTTTTTTTCGGACTGCGAGTATGAACTGTCGCCCGTGACTAGCGGATATCGATTATGCCTCGTATACAATTTGATACTGCAGGACACTAGTTGGAGCAGTGATCTCCCATTTCCATCGGCCCAGACTGTTGGTTCCACCAGTCAAGCGTTACAGAGATTGGTGCAACGAATGCCCACGAAGGACTCATGGGATCCGGTCCAAGGCTACTCATTGAAAGGCAAGTACACCAAGACGAATCTTCATTTTTACAATTTGAAAGGAAGGGATCTAGATACTGTGTCGCTATTGAGGGACGCAGTGGACGAGAATGGCAACAAACTCTTTGTGGCTTACTTGATGCTCCTCGAAAAGAGTGTGGACGGCCAGCGCTATTCAAGCTACGACAATACCAATTGGGATGACGAGTCTGATGGTGAAGAATTCCGCACTCATATTTCTGCCGTTCACTGGATTGGCCCCAACGATACAATGTTGGACCATTTTAATTTGCCGTTCAATATAAACAAACATTTGGTTGTCGACTATCCGGATGATGTGTTTGACGAAACCCCCGACAATAAAAACTACGAAAACTGCGACGGGAATGCTGATCCTACATTGGAGTATTGGAAGGGCGTTGTGGTGTTTTGGCCACTTGCAAAAAATCCCGAGGTTATGAAACAAGCTGGAAGATCATTCCTGGAGTCTTCTTTGGAAGCGGCTACCATACAATCCGATATTCAAGCATATGCCAAGCAATTGGTTTCCCTTTTCGAGGAAACGCGTTATGAATCACCTACAGGCAAAGCTATTCGTGCTATTGCCAGGTCCAAAGATGACTCTCTGATCATTCGCGTATTGGATTGCATCAAGAGGCGAATACCAATAAATGATGATGCGGTTGGGATTATCGAGGTCTTGAAAGCTTCTTCGTCGGAGACTCTCAAGCAATCCTTTTTCACTATGCTTCGCCGTGTAAGCAAATTTGAGCCACCGCCAAAACAACCATCGAAACAATCATCGAAAAAATCATCGAAAGAACCATCGAAACACTCATTGAAACGGAAACGCTTGAACATGCTTCTAAAATTGCAACACCCAAACGTTGTTGCGGAATTGAAACATCTGTCAGCCGTCCTTCGTTTGTTGGAAAGCAGTGGACTCAACGACTTTGTGGTGCCAGCCAAAGAAGCGATTTTTGCGAGTTTCATTGAACACTTGGATTCTATTGTGCGGGCATCGTCGAGGAAGTACATTGGGCAGTTGACTGAGCCATTCATTGATGAACCAGCTATATTCAAACGAATTGTTAATATTGTTGTGACCATACCAACCTTTGTTGGCCCAACTTTGAAACATGTAATGACATTGGTGCCCGACGCGAGTGCTAACAAATATGTAGTTCAATTGGCCAAAGTGCGAGCTCAAGAGCTCCTCAGTGAAACGCGTGATGGGGCACCAATTTTCACCTGGTGCCAGCCGCAGTCACCACGCTGGACCATGAGCCAAAGTCAAGCGGTCGATACTTTCCTGCAAGGTCCAAATGAAATCCAATCCTTCACTGGCTTTAGCGATATCGGATCCGCTCGCAACTGGGCAGCAGATTTTTCTCGCTTATCTGGTTTCGATGCTCGCAAATTGGGGCTTCCTCATTTCCATGTTAGTGCAACAGCATCGGGAAGTGGAAGTGACTCGCAAGTTGTGGTGACAAAAACAAAAGGCTATTGGGATGGAGTCAAAAAAGCTTACGACGAGAAAGTGGCCGAGCTGAAGAAGCTTCAATCAGTCTTTGGTACATCATTTGCTCCAAAGCGGCGAGCGGCAACTACACAAGGTGGAACCAAAAAGCAAAAGTCTTCTAGACGAGGAAGACGAGGTTCCGAATCGGCTAGTCGCCGAAAATGAAGCAACCGAAACGGTGGGATATAACCGTCAAACTAGGATCTTTGGCTGCCACACAAGGAAGATTTCAACCTTTCTGCCTCACAATATCATCGAGAGAATACAAGATATCGCACTTTGTACAATTTCCCTTTTCTAGTTTATAAATATTCCCAGTCAATGATGGATACTCTGTGAACCAAATCTGTTAGCCCATCTGTCCTTCATTTTTCTGGAGAGTCCTCATTTAAAGCAACCCGGACCCAGACTCAATCCATTCCGCGTATGCGCTGTACACGTGTACCTGGCTACAAAGCCCCATTCCAACCGATTCCATTTTTTTGAGCTCGAAGCGCGTCTTGGAGAGCCTTTACCTGCACCTGCAAATCGTCATTCTCCTCCGCAAGCTTTTGTTTCTCAGCCTGAGAAGCATCAAATTCATCCTGCAGCTTTTTCAAACTGGTCTCTACCCTTTCCCTTTGTCCTACAAACATCTCGTTCAAAAATTTTGTGGCTCGAACTTCGCCTTCTAGTGACAGAATCTTAGTCTCGAGGTCCTCCTTTTCCTCCACCATTCGCTGCCTTGAGAAACTCAATTCGCAAGATTGTTCAGTCAGAGACTTCAATTTGGCAGACAACTTGTCGTTTTCCGCTGTTTTCTTGGAAATTGCAGTGTCATGATCCTGGCGCAATTGATCGACAGCTGCACCTTTCTCCGCTAGAATTTTGTTGAGCTCTTTCACTCGATCGTTGATGTCAGACAGTTGTTGTGCAAGAGACTCGCTCTCAGCCTGTGCAGCTCGCGCTTTCGCTTTGTGGATCTTTTCAGCTTCATTTAGCTGCGCGGACAGCCTTTGGGTTTGGGCTTGCTCTGCCATCAGCATTCGCTCTTGGATGAGATTTGTCGCATTGAGCTGTTCTGTCACTGAGCTAGATTGCTGAGACGGAGTAGAATCTTGTTGCTGTTGCTGAAGCTGTGTAATTTTATCTTGTTGCATCTTGCACCCCCTCCTAAGATCATTTCGTTCGTCTTCAAGATTTTTGAATTCCTCCAAAAGAGACTTCTGTTTCTCGAGAGTCTCGGCAAAGTTGTCCTTGTGCAATTTTTCCAGAGAGGTGATTTCACTTTTGTGAGCCGTTTTCAAGTCGTCCAGTTGCTGTAATAAGGAGCTAAACTCTTCCTCCTTTGCGTGAAGATTGTCATTATACCCCGCATCCTCGATAGATTTCAGCTCGGCAACACGCTCCCTGGCATTCTCGATGATATCTTTCCCGACCTCCCCATCTAAGTCAAGCAGCTCTTGTTTCAGCAGTTCATTTTCGCGTTGAATGCGAAGCAGTTGGCTACTGTGGTGTTCACGGAGCTCGACAATCTCCGTTTCCAGATGACGAATACGTTCTCGGTGGACCATTGCAATTACTTTGTATTCGGCTTCAAGCTCCTTAATTTTCTCTTTGTGCTCGAAAAGGAGTCTCTTGAGCTCGTCGACTTCGTTCTCGAATTTACTGACCTGGTCTGCATGGCTTGTCTTCCCTTCCTCAAGCTGCTTTGTCAAGGAAGCGACTTTCTGTCTCTCGTCATACAACGAATCCTCATGCTCTTCTTCCATCTTACTCATGGCTTGTTGCAAATGCCAGAGCTTGGAAGATAGTTTCCCCTTTGCTTCGAGAGTGCGACTCATTTCTTCTTCACGCTTTGCAATGGTGGCTCGGGCCAATTTGGCTGCTTCCACTTCCTTGGAGGACGACTGCCGGAGATTGAAGACTTCGGACATCAGCTTTCCCTTGGCAGCAAGTGTGCGACTCATTTCTTCTTCTCTCTTTTCGAGAGCAGTCTTTTTAATCATCAATTCCTTCATCAGTTCAGCTTCCTTTTTCTGGGAGGACTGCTTCAAGTTGAAGAGTTCTGAAGAAAGCTTCCCTTTGGCAACCAGAGCGGCACTCATTTCTTCCTCGCGCTTCTCGCGCTTTGCAGCTTCCTCGGCAACGGCCTCCTTTATTTCTTCGTCCTTCGCCCGAAGATTCTTCTCAAGGTTGAACACCTTGGACATGAGTTTCCCCTTGGCCTCTAGTGTGCGACTCATTTCCTCTTCACGCTTGGCGGTGGCTGCTCGTTCAGTCTCCAATGCCTGCTTGTATTCGGCTTCCATTTTGGCATATTTCTGTTTCAAATTAAAGAGGTCGGACATGAGTTTTCCCTTGGCTGCAAGCGTTCGACTCATCTCTTCTTCTCGCTTGGCCACTGATGCCTGTTCTTTTCTGAGTTCCTTTTGGAGCTCTGCCTCCCGTTGGAGCAAAGCTTGCCTGGCACTGAAGAGCTCAGATGAGAGTTTCCCTTTTGCCTCCAAAGTGCGACTCATTTCTTCTTCTCGTTTCGCCAAAGCTGCTTGCTCCCATTTTAAGGCACTCCTAATAGTAGCTTCTCGTTTCTTCGAGGACTGCTTGAGGTTGAAGAGGGCGGAAGAAAGTTTTCCCTTTGCCTCCAAGGTACGGCTCATTTCTTCTTCGCGCTTTAGAGTAGCGGCATGTTCGGTTTCTAGGGCTGCCTTGAATTCCGCCTCCTTCTCTCGCAAGGTCTTTTTCAAATTGAAACATTCCGACATGAGTTTCCCCTTGGCGGCGAGTGTACGACTCATTTCTTCTTCTCGCTTTTCGATCGCCGCATGTTCGTCCTTCAAAGCCTTCTTGTACTCCAATTCCTTCACTTGTAATTTCTCTTGCAACTCAAAGAGCTTGGAAGCAGCATCCCCATTGTCTCCCAGGCCTTGACGCAATTGCTCCGCACGAATTTCGAGCGCAGCCTTCTCCGCTTCCAGAACCTTCTCTTGCTCAATCATCATGTCCATGTCCTCGACTTGTTGCTTTTCGAGTTGTTCAATTCTATGCTGTTGCGCCATAATCTGTCCAGTCAAGACTTGCTTTTCGTGCTGCGCTTGCGAAAGTGATTGATGATGCTGCGACTGCATTTGTTCCATGGCATCGATCAGCTTTTGCTTTTTCTCATACTCATCGACAATGGCAGCCATGTGCTCTTCCGCAATACGATCCAGCTCCACTCTTTGACTATCACACTTCCTCGCAAGCAACTCGGTTTCCTTCTCGAAGCGGTCCTTATCCTTGCTGTAATTGGCTTCGAGGACCTTCATTTGCTCGTGAAACTGGACACTTTGCGAGTCCGTCGCCACGGTGAGACTTTCATCTGCATAATAGGTACCATCCTGGCTTCTTGCATCCGCAGCCGCCAAGCTCTTGAGTCGTTCCGCAAGTCTCTTTTCCATTGCCGCCCGCTCCCTTCGGACCCGTTCCAGGGCACTGTTCTTATTGCCAGGTCTTGTTTGTCGAGTTTGAATGTGGGTATTACTAATACCACTACTATTACTGATTCCATTGGAGGCATACGACAAAACTTTCTTGATTTCGCTACCAGGTGACATGTCGGGAGTATTGGGTTCTATATCGGATACCCCGTCAACGCTGCCATCAAGTGACAACATTGTTGTCTCCATCGTTCGGTCGACAGAGGAACCATTATGGGACCCATCCGCCATAGTCTTGGAAGAGTCTTTGAGGAGTGCATCCATAGGAGTGAGGGGGGCTTGTCTTATAGGGACTTCGATGGTGTTGCAGTCTCGGCTTTCTCTCATTGCCTGCTGCGTGGGAAGTAACAATCATCACCGACCACAAAATTGGGCGAAATAGATGGAGAATAATGCAGGTGAGCCGTGCATCATTGTCTTGTTGTTCATTACGAGCTCAAAAACTTTGCCATGGCCTTACCTCTATGCTTTCGGTGATGGGAAATATTTGTTCCTGCTCGTTGGCCTGATTGTTCTTGAATAAAAACATGGATGAAAACAGCTATTGTAATATAAAGCTTGTATTACTCTGGGATGAAATGACTGATGGACGACAGAGTTGGGATGCAAGCTGGTGATTATTGGATTGAGTGTCACAAATCATGAAAGATACAGGTGATGATATCTGGTTGGGTTATTGGTTACCATTGCCTACGCGCGGCACTACTAATGACGCATGCAAAACGATTTAACGTCCGGAACGAATTGACATGCCAACAGAATGACGAGGAATAGAGAGAATAGATCTACTTAACGCGAAAGAACGAATTTCAGGGAAAAGAATTCAGGGACATAGAGGAAAAGGCACGCGTTGTCTTGGTCCTTCTTCAGACTTATTGGAAAAGATCAATGATTGGGCCTGATTAGATGACACCAGTACGACACTTCCAAGTGAAAGACCAAAATTCGGAATGCGAACACATGAAACAACTTCCTGCCATCATTCATTTGTACTTGTATCTATTGTACCGTACAACTTGCGGTGCCATATTTTACATTGGAAATCGTTGACTTTGATGTTGTAAACTTCTTCTTTATTTTTTGGAGCAGCATCATCATCAGCTGAGTGATATATGCAACGCAACGCTAACACTTGATGACACCACGATGACAATCCCACGCCGTTGTTCATATGAAGTCTTCCATGCATGGATCAAATCAATATCAACAACGGAGGAAATATATAAGACGCACACCAAGACCAACAATATACATCAACAATACAACGGACTATTCCACCCTTGCACAATAGAACAGGCAAGCCCTCATTCAAAAATCTTCACGGTCGATGGATGGTATTGACTGAAATTTGGACCCGATCCGCATTTGCAATGATCACAATAGCATCCACGGCCGAAGATGATTCCCTCAATCAGATACTGGTAGAAAGGAATTCTGAAACTGAATGGCGCCTGCTTTTGAATGGTACATACTCTTTCCAACGAATGTATTGCCGAGATATATACTCCAACACATATTTATTGGTATAGTAATACTTCACAAGACAACCATCAAAGTCCGAAAATCATATCAACAAACTCTCAGATTTTGCGGGTTTTCTCCCCAGTCACTCATTGATGGATAATATTGCAGGTCCACTCGGTGTATCAGCTTTGTCATGTCTGATAACAACCCAAGTGACTTTGAAGACAACATCGCACATGTCCCTACACCTGCCTTGCAGACAGCGGCGAGTGAAAGGGTCCTCAGAACAAGGCAAAACTCTGTGGGACTGTTGAAGATCCTTCGGAGGTCCAGAATTAGACTTGAGAACTTTGGGTATTTAACTTTCGACAGGACGACACTAATTTCACTTTTATCAGACCCCAACGCTCTTTATTGAAGGCTGGTTTAGCAACTCGATAGATTCTTTTTGAATATGATCTGTACAAAACATGCGTGGGTTGCATTGCCAAGCGATTTCTATAGTTGTAACAATCGCAAATTCTTGTAACAATCGATGCGCTCTACGTTAATAATACTAACAATCTTGAGTAGTACTATGTAAGCTGCAAGCCATAAGTCGACATGGAATCTTCTTCGCTCAATGGAAGACCCCCATCAATTTGGCGCAGCAGCCGTGACGCCGACAACTTCGATCTTATTGAAAGGAGCAGTCAATCCAAGAGTCTCTGTCAACTCTTGTTCTCCAAAGCGCGAAGTGATTCGATTCGCCAAAGGTAGCGTATCTTCTTCGCCTTTCAAGAAGAGATTCAACTTTGTCACAACCCGAATACAAGGAGATGGAGCTGATGCATCACAGGACTGATCTGGCTGGTACTCGGCATTAAATCTCGCGTTACCAATGACATTTGTTTCAATTTGTAGTCGTCTCTTCCAATCTGTTTGTCGCAATCGTCGAGCATTCGGACAGTCAGCTAGCCTTGGGCCCAAGATTCTTTGGATTCTCAATTCCATTTCTTCTACGACCTCAGACAAGTCCGAGAGCTGCAGGGTCAGCGAGACATCCATTCGAATATCAAAAAACTTGGGAATGAGTTCAGATTGCAAACTCACATCCACACCACGAGCAATTCTCTCGCAATCATCGAGTGTATTTCTTGGATAAAGTGGGGAAAGCGACGGGGGGTTGGTTGCTGCCATGGTCGGATCACTTGAAGGAGATTCGGATGTTGTATCATCAGCAGGTTTCTGGTCGTTTCCCTCATTCACAGCAGCAGCGTCACCTCCCTTTGAAATACCTGGGGCGCCAAAGTAAGCTCCAACAAGGAAGGCCCCAGCAAGGTAGGCTCCAGCAATCAAGACTAGCACAACCAGAAGAATCACCTGCTTGCTTGTCTTCTCTGCCTGTTTTAGTGCTTCTCGCTCCTTTTCTCGACGGTGCTCTTCCTCCCGTTCTTGCTCCCGGAGTCTTCTTGCGTCATTCTCCCCCCCAATGCTGGTGAACACAGCATAAGCTTCGTCTCCATTTGGCACTGTTGATGCAACCATACCTTCCGTATCGACCTTTCGGATGTTTTGTGGTCCCGTCTTATTGAAATGTTTGGACCACTAGAAAGAGCAGCACCGTCATAGAGGAGATTATTGTACGCAGTATATATATTGTATCTAATTATGTCCAACCCCTTTTCTAACAGAAAAAGACCCAAAATGATGACGTCCGAGTACCAGGCAATCAAGCCTTCCTGAAGTGTCCATTCTACAGGATTTTGAATCCGTAGGAAAGCCTGTTAAGTACAGTACTATAATATATATTTGCGTGAGATATGTATCATATATGTTTCATTTCCAACTGACCCAAAAGTAATTTTTGACCGTAGGAATCCACGCACACGTGTACAATGCTACTGAAAATCATGAGAAAAAAAACCCAATGTTAAAATGCTCCCAGCAAAAGATTTTACACCTTCAATTCTGGACAAAATAAGACCGCTATATTGCCATGCCATCCCACTAACATACGTTGCATGAACAGGCCATTGCAAAAATGCGAACATGACCCTCCGAGAGAGCATGTGGGCATCAAGATTCGCTGAAGCTGAAGCCAAAAAATCCAATCCAACAGATTACAGTCCAATGCCTTCCCGAATACAGCACAACAATGCAAACGTGACATACAACAATACAAGTGCCAGACTATCCACCACTATCTGTGTTTGGCATTATATCTCCTGGGACTACCTCTACACAAGGCAGCTTCCAAGGCATTTTCTCATTCCGATGAAACCGCCAACGACGAACGACAAAACGGAAGTCCACAATCAACAACCATCTCCTCTCAAACAAGGAATCTGAGCTTCGTGGCCTCACTTCAATGGGTACAGCTGAAATGGAAGAAAAGCTTATGACCACAAGACAGTCTGGAAAAGCGTTCAAGCTAACTGCAGGGGGTCACAAAACCCACAATAACTATTTCGCGGCTGCTACGCTACGAGACAATGAGGGTGAAGCAAAGAAGTTGTAAGCAATCAAGAAGATGAGACTGGAGCTGATTGAGCAGGCCAAGAGCGGAAGGGACATATGGGAGGTGGACAGGAACACCGAGATTACAATGCTGCTCACAAAGACCAAACTTGAAAAACTCATGCTGTGGAAAGGCGTTGAAAGGAAAGACCAACCCAAACTCATTGGAGGTAAAAGAAAGAAGTGGTTGGAAGTACGCGATAAGGACCCGCCTCTTGTTGGAGAGTGGACTGATGAAGATGAAGCTGGATTGACGAAACTTCGTTCCAAAGACGTTGACATCGAAGATACAGCTATCGGGCGTGCCAAGATCACAGTTCAACGTGAAATGAAATCATTCTTTGACAATCTCTCTCAAGAGAAGCAACAAGAGTACTTGGATCAGCTTGAAAGATCTAAAAAGTGTAGTGATAACTAGTCTAGGAGCCTATCTCGGACGGTTTTTTTCTTCTAACAGAATTTCTGTCGCATGGTATTTACAATTGGATTTGACCAACATTAGTTATGGCAAAATAACCAAGTAGAGTACTAAGGATATATTGGGTGATTTATGGAAAGCGTTGGGAAGATAATCGAAGGATTGTTTGCCTTCACTGTACTCCTCACAAGTTTGACCATTGAAATATGGGCATTTTGTTTTCCCAATTATGTGAATTTTTTTGCGTAGCTCGTGGTACGTTTTCTACGTGCTATTAAACATAATTGGGTTTATGCCTGTACCCGGTACTGTAAATGGAATCATCTTCACGGTCAGATTTTCAACCCCTTTTTCGCCCGAAAAGTCATGGAAGAATAAAAAAGTGCTGTATGTCGCTGAGCTAAGACAGACACCTTCAAAGAGAAAAGAGTGAGAGGATAAAAACCAAAGGTAAAACCAAATGTGAAATTACTTTTTGATTGATCCCACTTCGATAGAAGTGATCTTGTCAAAACAATTTAAAGCTATAGTATTGAATAACATATAAAAGAGGCAGGTTCACCAAGGAACACGTCATATACAGAGTAGTGGACTTGGGAATTTTCCTGGGAACTTTCTTGTACACCAGGCAGGATAATATTCGATTCACCAAAGGTAGCGTATCGTCTTCGTCTTTCAAGAAGAGATTCAACCTTGTTACAACCCGAATACAAGGAGAGGTTGCTGATGCATCGCAGGACCGATCCGGCTTGTACTCAGAATTGCTTAGAGCTTCTGTTGCCATTGACATTGTTTTCAATTTGTAGTCTTCTTGTCCAATCTGGTTGTCGCAATTGAGTGAAACTCTTGAGTCCTGTTTCAGAGATGCGTACAGTCTGCGCCTAGCTGGTCATAATTATTCTTCGTGCCAGTACAACGATCTGCTGTGGCTGCATTGATGTGAGAAATATTGAGAGGAACGTCATCTATACCTTGAATCACACGCGAAGCATGAATCAAGTAGATTGTTAAACGGGCGTCTGGACTTATTAGCGCTTACTTTTGATTCTCCAATATCTTTCTGATTCAATCCTGCAGCATTAGAAAAGAGTTGCCACATACAAATTCAATTCATACCCATGGAGTAGCACATTTATCTTCACAATCGCAAAGCTGCGCAGTTGGGAATAATCTCTGTGTTGGAATCAGCCAAGCAACGATCGTAGTCTAGCTCCCGATTGTCCAGAGTGCTTGCCTATGGATTGGCAGATGGCAGTTGTGTAGGTACTAGGGTTGTAGGCCTAGCGGTCGTGACATCAACAACTTTGATCTGGTTGAAAGGAGCAGATAATCCAAGAGTCTCTGTCAACTCTTGTTCTCCAATGAGAGAAGAGATTCGAGTCAACAAAGGTACCATTGCTTCTTCGCCTTTCAAGAAGAGATTCAACCTGGTCACAACCCGAATACAAGGAGTTGGAGCTGAAGCATCACATGACTGATCTGGCTGGTACTCGGCATTAAACCTCGCGTTCCCAATGAGATTCTCTTCAATTTGTAGTCGTCTCGTCCAATCTTGTTGGCGCAGTCGTCGAGCATTAGGACAGTCAGCTAGTCTCGGACCCCAAATTTCTTGCATTCTCAATCTCATAGCTTCTGCGACTTCAGACAAGTCCGATAGCTGCAGGGTTAACGATACATCCATTCGGAAAATAACAAACTTGGGGATGAGTTCAGATTGCAAACTCACATCCACACCACGAGTAATTCCCTCGCAGTCGTCGGGTGAATTTCTTGGATAAAGTGGGGAAAGCGACGGAGGGTTGGTTGCGGCCATGGTTGGATCACTTGAAGGAGATTCAGATGCTGGGTAAAGAGGGGAAGCCGTCGGATTAGAAGATGGCAGCTGTGTAGGTACTAGGGTTGGCGACCTAGCGGTCGTGACATCCACAACTTTGATCTGGTTGAAAGGAGCAGACAATCCAAGAGTCTCTGTCAACTCTTGTTCTCCAAAGAGCAAAAAGATTCGATCAATCAAAGGAAACGTATCTTCTTCGCCTTTGAAGAAGAGATTCAACCTGGTTACAACCCGAATACAAGGAGTTGGAGCTGAAGCATCACAGGACTGATCTGGCTGGTACTCGGCATTAAACCTCGCATTACCAATGACATTTGTTTCAATTTGTAGTCTTCGCGTCCAATCTGGTTGTCGCAATCGTCGAGCATTCGGACAGTCAGCTAGCCTTGGACCCAAGATTCTTTGGATTCTCGATTCCACTTCTTCCACGACTTCAGACAAGTCTTCGAGCTGCAGGGTCATCGAGACATCCATTCGAATATCAAAAAACTTGGGAATGAGTTCAGATTGCAAACTCACATCCACACCACGAGTAATTCTCTCGCAATCATCGGGTGAATTTCTTGGATAAAGCGGAGAAAGCGACGGAGGGTTGGTCGCGGCCATGGTTGGATCACTCGAAGGAGAATCGGACATTGTATCATCAGCAGGTTTATGATTGTTTCCCTCATCCACAGCAGCAGCGCCACCTCTGTTTGAAATACCTGGGGCGCCAAAGTAAGCCCCAGCAAGGTAGGCTCCAGCAATCAAGACTAGCACAACCAGAAGAATCACCTGCTTGCTTGTCTTCTCTGCCTGTTTTAGTGCTTCTCGCTTCTTTTCACGACGGTGCTCTTCCTCCCGTTCTTGCTCCCGGAGTCTTTTTGCGTCATCCTCCCCCCCAATGCTGGTGTGCACAGCATAAGCTTCGTCTCCATCTGGCACTCTTGATGCACGGACCATACTTTCCCAATCGATCTTTCAGATGTTATGGTCGTGTCTTGAAACTTTGCGGTTTGTTTGGACCACTAGAAAGAGCAGCACTGTTATAGAGGAGATTATTGTATGCAATCTTTGCAGTAGTACCAGTATTGAGTATATGGTGCACGCGTTGAGAAAAGAAATAGCGGTTGAGTTCCCCATTTTTGTGGCACTTGTTTTTGTATTATTCGTTTGACAAAATATTTATCGAACATCATGGCTGGGTCGTTAAATGTTTAAAAAATGCATACAACAAAGGATCGTTTATATATAAAATAAAAAAATACTGATTGCGGGCCAAAAGGTATTAATACACGTACTCGTAAACGTAAACGTACGTGTACAGGAGAAGTGTACAGGCTGAGCGAATGAAATTATAAAAGCACTCAAGAAAATTAAGAAAACAAAGCGTTCTGCCGCGTGCTGCTTCGGCGTGCTACTGTATGGTACATTTAGAGACGAGGACTTCCTTCTACTGTAGGACCATCCCAGTCTATGCTAGGGGGCATACTGTGCGCTTTGAGCCCATGGAACAAATCTGAACCTACAATAGGTGGTGATGTGAAGGGCGTCTTCTACCGGTACGTGACCGCAGGTCCACTTTGCCAAGATTGTAAAATGTTTTAGAAACATATGTGTAGTCAATGTCAACATCCAATCTTCATAACAGCTAGCAATGATTCCGATCTGGACGTATCTTGATATGTGTGGTTCGAGGTTCAGTCCATGTCAATTGAGGCAACAAGTGCAGCGACTCGTTAACTAGTTGATGGCCCTAATCAAAGCATCTCTTGTGAGTCAATTCTACTATGTTTCCTAATAGTCAAGTTCTTCTTCTATCATTCAACAGACTTCTTGCTATGATTGCGTTTAGCCCAAGTCTCCATATATGTATTGAAAAGATCGTTTCTTGAACAATACTTCTTTACCTCCTCATTCCATTTTGATAGGCATTGTTCAATCGTCCAGCAATGACTTCTACAGTTCTCCTCTATTCTTTCGTTAATTTTTGGTGTGCTTGAGTCCAGTACCTTAGGCACTTCTCTTATTGTGATGCATTGTATTCACTATAAAATAAACATCCATTCAACGCTTTGGAGAGTGATGCCAACTCAAAGCGCCTCAGCTCATTAGGTGGCAACTCTTCCAGAGTCTTCAAACAAGCCTTGACCAAGCTCATCTGATCCATGTTGGTTTCAATTGGTCCTGCATGCCAAAAGCGTGACAAGAACCACGCCTTGACGCAATTTTGATTTGCGCTTTTTCTATGCGCCGATATAATCTTGTAAAGTGTTGTTCTCGGTTGGCGGCGGACATAGGCCGTCCGATTGCCACGAAGCAACTAGTATTCCCACTTATTCCCAATCACAATATTGGGAAACGTCGTGACAACTTTGATCGGATCCATCTGTCAATGATGTCCCGCCAGAAATACAAGAGTTTTTTTCTTTCAATTTGATCAGGAAATTGGACCACCACCATTCAAAACCAATGGTGACTTTTCACTGTTCCCTCCGGCTTGTCGTTGCCGGTTGTTGGTGTTTGGATATTTCGATAAAAAGAGTGCACTTGTGATATTGGTAAACTTTGATCTTTTCTTCCGCTGCTTTTGGGCATGGTGTCTCTGGTCCCCATGGGCCAAGGCTTGCAGCTGGGCCTCGACATCTTTCATGGCTTGTCGAATGATCTTTTGCTTTTCGGCTTCAAACTGTTTTTCATCCATTTGATAGCTACTTCCATAATCATGAGAGCCGTTTGTTGTTGACTCTTTGTTGTTCTTGTGCGTTGATTCGACCAGTGTAAGGACATTTCCTGTGCAGTTATCCAAATCCACCAGATAGACCATTCCTAGCGCTTGAAAGACCACGCCCATAATGGTTGCCTGCCCCGCCACTTTGACAGGAAGCACGTACAACAACATGGTAAAACCAACTTCATTGACCAAAAAGGACATGGCAAATCGTACCCATAAGGTCCAATGTTTTGCTTCCAGCTCGAGAGTTCGTTCTTCCCCGGATCCTCCCAGATCCTCCCACTCAAACATGACACGATTCTTATTCATGAGAAAAAGCTTGAGCCAAAACGTAGGATTTAGCTCCTTGCTGCCGTACGAATTGGTCGGACCGACATAATAAACACATGTCATAAAGGTCCCCATCAAATACAAGCAGTAGGAACCCAAGGATGTGAGCATGAGGCATCCGGTCGTTCCATTGAAGCAGGTGCGCGTGGTAGTGAGATAGGTGTCATCCAGCACGAGCCCAATCAAGACGATTTGCGTCAAAAAGACCAATACTGCAAGCGCAAACGGCCTTGTCAAATCTTCCTGCACATTTGTCGGCTCCAACTGACGTGCATTATCACCGGTAATGTCGTATGCTTCGTCGTCCGCCAGCGGTTGGACCGAGTCAATGGATTTGCAATTTTGATACACCAACAAGATGCGCGCCGTATTCAAACTGCATTCGACAAAGAGCACGGCCAACATGATGAGGAATCCATGCTGAAAGTTCCGTTGCATCAATCCCAAAAATAGAATGGCCTTGGTCCCCAGTCGCAAAATGGCAAATCCGGGATCTTCGTGATGATCCATGTAGGCTGAAATTAGCGAGCAGATTCGCAGGGAGCCTACAAAGTGGTCGTCTTGGTAATCGTCCGGCTGAGGACCGATGCCGCGGAGTTTGGTCTTGATGCGATCCACCCGTTGGTGAAAGAGGATTGCGGTCCAAACAAAAAGCATCCCGGCGACAATCAAGGTTACCTCCGAACTGGGACAAGGACGCTGAAACCATTCGTATTTGGGGTATGGGATGATGACGATCATTGTACCTGACACAATACCAATGCTACTACTATTCCATACACTGGTCCCATGTCATTTCGTTTCATCGTCACATCATTTTCAATTTGTTCGATCGGACGTCAGATGGTCGCGCGTTGTTGCGTGCACGTAAGGCGATTGTATGACTCGTCGGACTAGTTGCACCAGTCGAACACAAATGAAGCTTTTATTCTTCTGAATCTCCTGTCCGACACCGAATCCAGCAAGCTGCGACGAGATCCCTGCAACAATTCCACTGCATCTTCGCCGCTAGCATCCGAGCCGTTTCCACACCAGCTACAGTACCGCTCTGGTACACGAATGGCGGGGAGATCTACAGTAGATGTCCGGTGCGTCGGCTGCAATACATATTCAACTAAATTTTAGGAGTTTATTATTAATACTTCGTATCGTCTCTCATTCGTGCCTTCTTTTTCATAAAGGCCGAAGGTGCTCTTCTCATCAAGAAGTAGTACTGTACTATACTGTACTGTACTGTATTCCTACAAAATAAAATTCACCGTAACGGCGTTTAGCTACCGTATCTTTCTGCCATACGATCGTGGTTTCCCATACGATCATCGTCGTTCGCTTCGTATCATCCTCATTTGTGCAGCATGATCTTATCAAGAGCAAGTTAGTAGCAGCTGGCTCGTACTGTACTGTAGAGTTTGGTCATCGCTCGTTGTGCCTCTTTCGTACCGGCCGGTATATACCGGTATAACGACGTGCTCTTTCTCATCATCAGAGCAGATATTATATATGTAGCAAACTACCGTACCGTATATATCATTCGATCGTTTTTATAGCATGATTCCTACGCAATCAATCGTACTAAGTCGCACAGTCGTACATATACGCTTTGCCTAAGGACCTTAATTAAAAATACACGAACGCGTTTTCAATTTGCTTAGGTGGCTGGTACCAGTACGATTGAATGTGACTCAGTCAAACTGTACAGTACTTTCATCTGCGTGAAACGAATCGGAATTTTCTGACGATATGATGACGTCGTCTTTCATAGGGCAAGTTCTCACACCGGTATATATTG